TTGGCACTTTGCAATCCATACCCTGGCTGTTGGGTACCCCATCAAACTCTGTCGTTAGACATTGGACACAAATCACGGCTATTCTCCAAAGTGACATGCTTTATTGCCTGATACTCCGCAACGATTCTGATCTCGAGAGGCATTGGATGTACCCATCTCACCTAGTAACGGGACACAAAAACTCGTATTGCTCGGAGGATTTCATCCCCGTATCTTGAGGTGGTGAAGCTCTCCACCCCACACAGTCGTCGTAACCGAGGAGCCGAAATCTAGAGCATCGTCGAGCTCTGATACATTCTATGCAACTTCGTGCTCACCACTCTCCTCCTCTGCCCTAAACATCAAGCCACACCAATGCGCAGGGTCTTCCATATGTTATCCACATGTCTCAGTACTGCGTTCCACTTTTCCCCTCCCCACTAAGGAGGGTGTGTTTTACAGAAAAATCAGTCGAGGGCTAGCCGACCAAAGAGGGTCGAGGGGATTGAAATCTGGCACGCAATTTCGCTATCGGGCTCGTGCTAGGGCAACCGCTGAGCAACATCAAGCCTCAACTGAAGGCTTAATATGAGACGTACGCCACCTTTCCGCCGCTGAGACGGTCATGTCCATATTGGACTTTCAGTGCTTGAATGGCTGAGGCCTTTTATTGGCAACCCTCCTGCACAGATGTTATTGCATATGGAGTTTCTAATGCGGCCAAACTTGACGACGTTGGTGTTGACTCGTCGTGCTGCTGCCGGTGGAGCACCGAAAGGTACTTGGAGAGTTTGAGATGTCTGTCTGACCCGTGGCCAACGAGGCCTGCATCCAGGGATCTTCATGCGTCCACTGTAGTGATAGCCACTAAACAACCTGATTATTAGGCCAAGATCACTAGAAATTTGAAGAAGAAGAAAAAGCAAATGTCATTATAAACACCAGCTCCACACACCCGAGGATTTCTGCTTTCCTCACTTTTCCGCCTCGGAAGAGGGGGGGTGTGAGAGGAGGGCTCGGGAAGTTTCGACAATGTCTTATATGAAGCTAAGACCAGGGACGATTGGAAGTCCGGCGGAAATATCAGATCACCACGGCAATGGCAGAGCTAAACCTGATATCTCGGAAGTATAATCGTTCACATGGAAAGCACGATACCTTCTTTTCACAAGCGATCTCTTGATAACGACGGACCTATTTAGAATCAGTTTATGATCCTACCGACGGAGATAGCTCAGGTTGAAACTCCAGGGGACCGGACTTGATGAGCTTAGCGAGAGGGCTCCCACTTGCGTCGCCTTCTTGGAGAGCGGAAAGATGAATCTGCGCTGCCCTGTCAATCAGAGTGAGGAGGAGACGCCGCCCCGTTTTGGCCTTCCTGGAAGCCACTTACACCCAAAAGTTGGCTTCAGGCTTGACCGACTACCAATGCTACTTTCACTCCCTTTATGCGCTGGAGAGTGTCTGGCATGCATACGCAAGTATTGGCGTCTTTTCCGGGAACGAAAAACAAAGATGAGCTGGCAGGTCGTTCTGAAGGCGATGTTCAAGGGTCCTCCTGCCTACCTAACGCTACGTACAGCCCACCTTGGCGGTTCTTTTGTAATGAGCGTTCGCAGTACGCCAAGCCAACCTCCTTCGTTCGATGTGCATATTTTCAGCTTAGGGAATATGCTCAAGAAGGCCTTCTCTCCGCCCTTTCAAGAGAAACGCGAAACTACAGGACCCAAGTAGCGCAGCTTTGCATGACTTCGACTTGCATACCTGGAAGGCGTTTGATGACTGGCTAGCCTCATAATTGGGGTTCTTTCATCGCTCACCGCCACCACTTTCGCAACCGTCCCCCCTCCCCCGCATCCTGACGCAGAGTGGAGCGCAGGCGTACGAATCGTACAGGTTGAGATAAGCGGGTGAAGAGATGACGCGAAGCTCGGTGTCGGTAGCTTGGCAGGAAGGCTAGGATAGATGGTAGAGGAGCATTGGTGGAGGGAGGGACCCGCCTCATCCATCAGTCCACCTAAAGACGAAAGGCATCCATGCCAAGTCAAAGTGCAGATGACAGACCGTCTTAGTAGGCCCCGCTCTGCTGCCCGAAGCTAGTCACATGAGGTCTCCTTTGTGTAAGCCATCGGTCGTCTTTTCGCTTTTTCCTTCTCTCACGAAGAAGGCAGCGTCTGGGTTTTGCATGCGAGTCCCAACCCCCAATCAGGGGTGGGAGGTGTGGCGCGGGGAGTAAACAAAAAGGCAGCGAGGGTTGGAGACGGGCAAGCCATAGTCTTCGCGAATGAGCGGTGATATTGCGTAGTACAGGAGGTTTGGTAGACCCAAGCACAGCATGCCATATGCCTCTCGGACAATAGGCCTTCGGTTGACACAGAGGCCTTCGGGCTTGGCTTGAGCAACTGCGGACAGGTAGTAATGGTGTGGATGGCGTTTTCAGCTTCCGAGAGCATCAAGCTGCCCTTTTCTGCTGCGCCTTTGTGTCTGAATTACCCTCGGAATGAGAGCTGAGTGGATGGAGAACGCTGAAGTTCTGCGAGAGAGATATAATTAGTCGCCTGCTTGATGGTCCAGCTCGGACATGAATTTGACCCGGCCTGTTGGATCATCGTCGGACAGGACAGAAAACAAAATCTACAGTCCTCATATCCTGGCCAGTGAAATATTTGGGAACGGTCACAACTGTGACTAGACCAGGTGGCTCTGTTGAGCACAAAACCGGGCAAAAAATAGAAAATGCGTGTCGCGACTTGAAGGGATGTCACTCGGTCGATATCCCCTCCCCAGTCGGTTGTAAGCCCAGATTCTCCGGGACACCATGATCCTTACAATGGAAGTCATTGACTACTGTTGGCTATCATCATAGATCCATATTCATATGCCGTGGAGCAGAGGCCCATTTATTTTCGGAACGGATAACTGTGTTATCGGGCGCCATGCTCGTGCCACCACACCATAAGCGCGGAATGTCACCTTGGATCTCGTAAGGCCGAGAGGAGACATGCCACGACGACCCGAAGGTGCCGTGGGCGATGATCCACGTTGTAGATCATCACGAGGATGCCACACTTCCTCTTCCTTTTAGAAAAGAGTGATGAACGCCTGGAAAGGGTGGAGAATTTTCCGACCCCCACCAAGATTGCTGACGGCCGGATATCCCCAACTTCGGTATCTCGGTCCCGAACTGGACTGCTAACAAGTGTGCGGCAGCAGATGCGATAATGGGCCAAAGTGGAGCCTGCGAGGCAGGAAAGGAACAGCTTTTTGGAGCTGCGGGAGATATAGTTCGGGAGGGGGTCAAGGGTCCCGGTTCGCCGAAGGACAAGCCAAGAGTTCGGAAGATGCAGAGATCAAGCCCACACGGGCAGGTTCATGTTCGATAATGCCCGAGCCACCGCTTCCAAAAATACAAGGGCATAATTGCACCCGCCCGGTGTCATTCCAGCCCAACGGGTTCGGCCACGGGCGCGAAAAGGTGCAAGAACAATGACGATCATCTCATGGCTCGGAATCTTGTAGCCACACCAAAGCTCGGGGGATTTTTTCGACGGGGATTGCGTCTAACTGTCGAGACTTCGAGACAGTTTGACATCAGACGACACAGCATAGCGGATTGCTCAACTACCTTGTGGTTTTTTATGAAAAAGCGAATACATACTCCGGCCCGTCGCTATTTGAAATTCCCGATTCAAAGTGACATAGGCGATATGTCAAACGTCAGTTGCAGGTAATAGAACCTGGCCAGCGAAAATAACAGAGTAGGCCTCTAAATCTTACCATTGGTAATGCAATATACCTCTCAATCTCGTTGTGCTTCTGCTTGACCAGGTTGCTCCCCTCCGGAAGAGGACATTTAGATCTCCTCTACCGACCACAATACCCCAAGATCAACCGTGAACAGCTATCCACAAGGCAAAAAGAGACCTCTTCAGATGGGAATCCTCAATTCAGTATCTTAAATAGGACTCCCATGGTCTTTGTCAACTTGATGCAGAGCATCCCATGCCAGGCTTAATACCCCGACGAGCATCACCGGCGCTCGTGATAAAACGTAACGTGTAAGACGTCCTCTCCAACAAGATTGGTTGAAGCAGCATGGTATCGTAACTCCAGTAGTGCAATAGGACACCAGATAGATCCTGGAGTACGTCATATGGACTGAGAACTCGTCACTATAGGCAACATAGATCGATCTTCACCTTGTCGCCGAGCAAGACTGGGCAGTCCCGTGTTCAACAGACACATTTACCGTTACGTGTCCCGGAGATGGAACGCAGAGAGGTGATTTAAAGTTCAGCCTCCTTCCGTCCTTGCCGCCTTTCACAGCTTGCAATCTCATTTCGTGTAAGTCTCATTAGGGAAGCCCGGGGCTATCCAACGTTTCGTGTCCGGCCCGTGGTATCTGGTACTCGGGAGGTTCGATGAAAGGACGAAGGGACACAAATATCTTCCACCGTCGAGACTCTGGGCCACTTCAGAATGGTACCCGACCAACATCGCAGATGGCGGGTACGAACTGCTGTTCGACTTCCAACTCTGCGGCATGGGACTGACAACTTCCTCGGGAATAGTGCCCCTCCATCGAGGCCGATGTCCACCAGACTCTCGAACGCCCTTATATCCTGACCAGTCGACCCTTGGTTATCATGCTTGCGTATCCCGTCAGTACTTATGGTACCAATACTCGAGCGCTCGACCTTGACATGGAGTTATTTCCGAGTCATAGCGGCTGGTGGACTGTGAAGCGCGTTCAGTAGTCAATCAGTCGACGTCTTCCATGTCATTGATGACCCCGGAATCGATTCGAGCCAAATCCGAATGCGTTGCTCCGCTCGGTGATAGAGATTGTGCTCTGGTATGAGATATCAAATCCTCAATGTGTAGCGCCTGAGAAATAAGACTTTCGTACTGGCGTTTCCGCTTCAGGGAACTATGAACTATAACTCTCCTCTGAAGGTGGGATTATGTTGAACTATATCACAGAAGCACATATCCGGGATGTTGGTGAAGGAGCGTTCAAAATGTCAACATCACCAGAGGTCGACATTGAGGTTAAGGTCAGGGGCGGTTAAGGCGCCGACGCGTCCTGGACACGCCAATTTAGTGGGTGCCGACAGCGGCATGACGCCTGACCAAACCTGCTCATTTCTTTGTCTTGGCAGTGTCTTCCAGCGCAAGCTCGGATTAGCGTCTGACGTCAGCAAAAAGAACAGCTTGTGCTTGTGATCTCCTCAGCTTTGTCCCACATTCTGATTTTGGGCAGACACGCAGGCTTCCAGAAATGGTCTCTGCATCAACTCGAATCTCATGTCCTTCGGTTCTGGTTCTGCTTTCGCATAATCTCTGCGCTGCTAGCAGAACTTTGGCCACCCTGTAAAGAACAGGTCGCATGGTGGTATAGCCGCGAGAACATCTTGATTGCCTGGCTTGATCGCGATTTACGACCCTCTGGCCATTGCCTCATCTCCTTGCCTCTCCGCCGACGTCCCACAACACACTCGATCGACCTTGCTACCGCCATGAAGCCCTACATTGCCGCGCCGGCTATCCTAGCCTTAATATACCGTGCGTGGTCGCACAAATCGCTCACTCTTGGAGGCATAATCACGGCAGCAGTAACCGCTGTCGCTCATGCGTCTCATCCATGGAGTCTTCCCTTTGCGCTCCTAGCAATCTTCTTCCTAGTAGGAACGCGTGCAACCAAGGTAGGGGGGGCACCGGAAGCGCCGGCATAGAATATTTTGATTGGGTTAAACTTACAGGAGATTAGGTCAAGAAGGATATTAAGGCGACGTTGACGATCCCGTCCAAAGGCACATCTGGCGGCGAAGGACCGCGGACCCACGTCCAAGGTTAGTTACCCAACGTCTCCGGCCTGGCGTCGAAGTTTATATGCTAACTACTCCTTTACGTAGTGCTTTCGAACTCCGTCGTTGCTTCTGTCCTATCCGTTCTCCATGCATACCAACTCCACCGTCGATCGCAGACCCTCGCTGGACTTTCCACATCACCCGATGATTTCTGTTATCCTTGGGGAGGCGATCTCCTTATAGTGGGAATCATCGCCCATTACGCTGCTGTAACTGCCGATACTCTCAGTTCCGAGCTCGGAATCCTATCGAAGAGCCCGCCGCGACTGATCACGTCATTGTCGTTCCGACAAGTACCTCCCGGCACAAATGGCGGCGTTTCCCTCGCTGGAACGTTGGCCGGCGCTCTAGGATCTGCTATTATCGCTCTCTCGTCAACATTTCTTATTCCTGCATGTACCGACACCAATGCTTTGGGGAGCTACGTAGATGGTGTTTGGACTCTGGAGAGGAGATTAATATTCGCCGCCGCCATCACTCTCTGGGGATTCCTTGGGAGCCTTCTTGACAGCATCCTGGGCGGGCTCCTACAACGGACTGTCAAAGATCGCCGCACCGGAAAGGTTATCGAGGGAGAAGGAGGAGAGAGGGTGCTGATCTTGTCCGAGTCGACCCAGTCCGTGTTCGCCCCAATCGAATCGGCTGTGCTCTCTGGAGAGGCCGAATACGCAGTCGAGCATACGGATGCCACGGCTACGGCAGGGTATAAACCTAACAAGGACTCTCGCAAGAACAGGTTCGATGCCAAAAAGAGGCATCGTAGGGCCAGCTTCGGAGATGAGCGGCCTTCGAGAATTGTTGAGAGCGGCCACGACTTGCTCGATAATAATCAGGTCAATTTGTTGATGGCAGCGATCATGAGCTTCGGCGCGATGGCTGTGGCTGGATATTTTTGGGGGATCCCCTTGAGCACTATTGTCCCGCCAGTTATTGTTTAAAGAAGACGGGGTTTGCCAGTATGTAGATCAGCGTTGCCCTTATTTTAGCTTCTCACTGAAATGAACTCATAAATATGTTTAAAACCATCCCCGGTTGGCAAATTACGAAGTGTGAAGTTGGATTCTGTGGTTTTGCAGGCGGCTTGGTTTCCGGCATCAACAGGAGGAGCTAGAGGGGCAAGCCTGAGGATGCTCCTTCCCCCGTCCTCACACGCACTTTCTTGCTTCTGCGTCAACATCGATGATCTAATCAAGAGCCACAATCATATCCGGAATGATTCCTCAACTTCTCGGCAGATCGACCAACTCCCATCGCCCATCCATGTCTCCAGCATCACTCACTATCATTACTATCACTAACAACTAATAACTCCTGTGGCCACGATCGAGTCACCATGGTTTGAGGAAACGGCCACTTCATTAAGAGTACGAAGATTATTACCCCCTCCCCTCCCTTTCTCCCCTCCTCCAAGGTCTCGCACCAATGTCCGCGAATCCGGTTCTCCACCGCAGGCAAAAGTCGTCCTCAGCGGCCAGCTTCAGGACAGTCATTTGCATCAAGTCTCGAGACCAACTTTCGGAAGGCTTCAGGCATCCATATGTTAAGGCATCGGATGAACAGGCACATGCACAGCCGCGAATGTGTCCATTGCGGGGGCGAGATGATGAATCCAATATCGATCGAAGAGAGAGCCGGATAGAGATCCCCAGACAGACATCGACACCACGATTTTCTCATCCAGATTCCTACCGGTCCGCACTCCATGTCCCTGACACCGTCCAATTGACAGAAAATGCAGCGGGAAGTCTTCTCCCCGAATCCGCCGCCGTGACCGCCGACAAGACAGACCCCGTATTAACGACACCCGAACCCATCCACAGGAGAGGCGGACGCCATGATGAGACTTTGGTTGCAGCCGACCTCAGTGGCGCCCGGGGCTGTCATCGGGGCACCCGTGAGCCCAATGGCTACCCACTCGCACGGCCACACCCCTTTTCGCTTCCCGACTCGCTTCAAGATCCTCAGAAAGACCCAGCTCTCGGCTCAACCCACGATCACACCAGGAATGGGGAGCCTTCACTGCTTGCTGCTATTCCAGGTCAGGATGGCCCCGCCGAGGAACCGGGTCAAACTCCATCTGGAAAACGCCTCCATAAGAGAAATCAAAGGGGTGCCTACAAGCCAATACACCCCACCGATCTAGATTTGACACCTCGGGACTGGTCACCCTTTCGAAAAGCCTTCGTCGCTGTCATTTCCTGTTGCAATGTAGCTGTCATCGGCGCGGTAATCGGTTTATACTCGGGCATGGTCTCTTAGATCGAGGAACCCGGGGATGGCAAGGGCGACTCTATCAAGAGCGGATCAATGATGTTCGCAAACGTGTGGTGTTTCCTTGGGATGGCAATTCCGGTTTTATTTCTCTGGCCTCTTCCACTGCTCCATGGCAGAAAACCCTATGTATCAGGAGGGCTGATCCTCACCCTGGTTCTCTTGTTCCCTCAGACGATTGCCATACGTTCGGGCAGATACTTGAGTGACGATACCCATTGGAGATATACCTTCCTCGTCACGCGGGCATTCATGGGAGTCTCTTTAGGATTGGTTCAGATGAATTCCTTCGTAACACTGACCGATTTGTATGGGGCTTCCCTGCTAGGGAGGCCGGAAGACCCCAGGAGTCGCGGAGGTGGCATTGGGGTGTGGCTAGGACTTTGGACTTCATCCTGTATTGGCATGCTAATTTTCGGTTTTGCCATCGGGACAGTAATTGCGGGGTCCCAGCCATTGGATTGCAGTTTATACATTTCCATTTTGGTTGTTGCAGTGGCACTGCTGGTCAACGTTCTTTGTCCGGATTGTCGAGGCGCGCTTTACAGACGTCGAAGTCAAGGGAATGACTCCGATCTCCTCCCTGTTGGGGAAATTATGATTCACCGAGTAAACAAGAGTCCGGCGTGGTGGGGAGAAGAAACTCTTCACGGCGTCTTCCTCTGCTTCGAGATGCTTCGTCAACCGGGATTTTTCGCTGTTGCGATCTATGCTGGTTGGGTCTACGGACAGGCTATTTTCGTCACGATTATCTTTGCTTCCATACTGTCTCGCCTATACGAATTCGAGCCTAAATACGCCGGATGCATGATCCTAATCCTGTCCGCGGGCCCCTTGATAGCAGTGCTCCTCTCACGAGGCAGCTGGGTTTCGAGGTGGAGTCATGCCATCGCTCGTACCTTGATGAAGGATCAGAGGCCAGACGCTGTTCTTATGTTTACGTGGCGAACCATTTCCATGACAATCTTGCTCTTCTTCGTCATAGGGTACACGCCCGCATCCAAAGGCCCGCCTGTTTCCTTGGCTTGGCCGATCGTCCTCGCAGCCGGCATTAGCTTCTTGTCATGCCTGGCCATAGCGGACTGCCATGCGATCATCATGACGACATTTGACTGTTCTGACCTCGATTTAGACCCAACCACCCGTGCCCAGGCGAACCGCCAACCACCGCCTCCCTATACTTCGATTCCTCGAGTATCGGCCGGGCTGGCCTGTTGCCATGGGTTTGGCTTCCTATTCGCAGCCACGGGGACTGCCCTGGGTGTGGTTGCTGACAAGAAATACGATCTGCGAGCTACGGTTGGTGGCGTGGCCGGTGTGTTTTTCCTAGTCACCATGTCTCTTTTCATAGTCCTTGTTCCGTTCAGACAGGTCAACGTCGGAGGGGCGTCCGTGCCGGGAACACTCCCAGGACGTGAGATGGCGCATCTCAGCATCCTCGAGCTTGGAAGCATGGCGAGGTGGAGCGAGATTCGTAACCGGCAAAAAGTCGTCGTGGTGACGCAGGTCGGGGGTGTGCGGGGACGAAGAAAGGTTGGCAGGCCCAGGACCAATGACTGTTGGGGGCCCCGGGCTGCATCAGGAGCAGCGGCAGCAACGCGGGTTGACGCTAATCCTGAGCAGTGGACTATTGAGCATGCTTCGCACTTGACGATATCCAAGGTGAGGCCTATGGAGACAGAGGTGGGCGCTGGAAGGGGTGCCGATGCAAGCAACCGAGATCAGGTTTGAGTGAGAGCAGAAGACAGACTCGTTCATGTTTTAAAGAATATGCTTTATTTTGAATCCTGAATCATGATAACTCCTACTACTCCCTTCGGTGTAACATAACTAATAATAGCTTTAAGAAAAGAAAAATATCCAAAAGAAGGGAATGTTTAACGAAACAAAGTAAAATATCGAGTAGCCTTCGTACCTATTTGCGTGATTTGTTCGACTCTGTGCCTCCTTTCAACCCCCCCAACAATCTATTATTTACCATATCTAACAAGTTCTCTCAGTCCTTGGAAGGACATATGGAAGTAGGGTGTTATACAAGCCGACCAAATCGGGGTATCATGGATGCAAACTGAAATGCAAAAAGTACATTCCACCAATATTTCAAAAAGAAAGGAAGAATAGAAGTCTTTTCTCTTCCATATTCTATTTCCTTACCTCAAACTCAAATAAAGAGCATCACCCCTCCGCTCAGGTGTCAACAACGGCCTCCAAGAAGGGGTACTGGGCAATCGGCTCCGGTACTCCCCGCTCTCGGCGTCCCGGACCATCCTCCTGTACGGACCCGGCTGATTGTCCTGAGGCTCGGACGCCGCGTCACCAGCTGCCGACGAGATGGCGAGGTTCGACAGGCTTGTGGCGCGGTCTGGACCGAGGCGTTTTTCTAGGAGGGCGGAAGGCTGCGAGGATGGGGGTGTTCCGCGGGTAGTTTGCATTTGTTGGGCTTCAGCGGGGTATGTGTATTGTTGGACGTAGGCTGCCTGAGCTGCCGCCGCCGTGACGGGGGTAGATGTGACTTGTGTCGGGTTCTGGGGCCCGACGGGGGCGCGCTGGAAGCCGAGGGTTGGGCTTGGTTGTTGGGGGGGTCTGTAGGATTGTGCGGGTGGGGGCGGGGCCATTCTGGACATTGGGGCCCAAGGGCCGCTGTGGGGGGCTATTGTGCGGACGGGAGAGACCCCGCTTGCGTCGAGGAAGGGGTTAAGCACCGGGGAGTAGGCGGAGGCCCGCGGGGGCTGCTGTTGTCGCGGGGCGAGGTTCTGGCCTAGGAGTTGGTCGTTTCGGCCCTTTTGGCGTGGGTTGAGGGGTTTGGGGACGAGGGGGTTTCCGGGAACCGGGGGAGTTCGCCCTGAGATGTTCCATGGGCCGGCGTTGTCGGTGTAGATGGTAGGCGGGAGGTATGTGGCGGAAGGAGGATATACGCTCGAAGGGGGATACGCGGCACTTGATGCCACTGAAGCCACGCGCTGGACGTCGCCATTTTCTTGCCTGTAAATTTCCGCCGGTGGACGGAGGGTTCCCTGAGCGGAGTAATTCTGGGCAACAGTGGTAGGAGGAGCAGGAGCAGGTTGAGTCGGGACAGTGGTCTTAGACTCGGTATTTCGAGGGGTAACGTTAGAAGCCCTCCGAGCAGTCAAGTTCCTCGTGACGGGATTTCCACCGTCAAGTTCAACTCTAGAGATGCGTCTCTTCTGGCGTTCGTCAGCAAGCACCCAGTTGCCGAACTTATCGGCAACGTAGACCGCGGTAGCTGACTGCGGCACGGCGGACGGCGGTCTCCAAATTTGCGTCGGGCTGATATCCCCGCTACCGTCCTCCTCAAACTCCGTCATGGGACTGCTGTCATCTACGTCGCGAGACTCCTGGGATTGGTTCTCACTGTTGCTGACGGGCCTGATGGTCGGCTTAGCGGCGGAACTTCCCTCGCCGTTCATGGCCGTGGAGGTGTTAACGGTGAGTTTAGGCTTCCCGTCTTCGCGTTTCGGGATATTATTCTGCGCTGTGTTCACGAGTACGGGTTGAGGACTAGTTTTGCTCTTAGGAATCGCGAGAGATAAGGTAGGTCGCTTCTGCGTCTTCGGCTGTTCAGAGCTATTATTAGATTTAGCAACCGCTGCCAGCACAACGGGGCGCGCCTGGGCAATGACCACAGGAGATACCAATTCCTCGACGGGCAGGGACAGCCGAGGAACAGCGGGAGCCGGACGCCTCTCCTCGGGAGCAAATTTGCCCATCGGAAACCGGGGCGGAGGCGTGCTGTGGATTGGTGCCGAGATCTCGTAGATCCGCTCATTGCGGTGCTTAGGCTGCATGCTGAAATGGCGCGAAAGAGCCCTTAGACGCTCTTTCTTCATGAAGAAACCCGTCTCGGTGTCGGGGAAGTACTTCTTCCGCCGCCGACGCGAGATGCAGATGGTTAGGAAGGCGATTGCGAAGGCGGCCACGAGACCGGCGGCTAGGCCGGCGATCTGGGGCCTTGTGAGGCCCGTAGACTTGGGAGGGGTTTTCTGTTGTTCGCCGTTGCCGTCAGTGACGGGAGTGCTGCTCAGGTTGCTCTCGGTGGGAAGAGGCGCCGGCACGGCGGTGGTTTTGGGGGTAGAGGTGGCGGGGGGTGTATATGCGGGAGGGGTCATGGTTACGAGCGCCGTCGACGCGGTGGTAGTAACACCGCTGCTACTCGGCCTCGGGACGGCGAGCTGGGACGAACCCCAGAGCTCGAGGGTGGCTTGGATGGTAGAGTGAGTGGGCTTGACAGCGTTGGGTTGGCCGTTGCACATATTATAAGCCCGAGCCAGCGCTGTCCCTGTGTATACAAAACACGCAAGTTGTTAGCTCCTCTAAGCTTCTAGAACATTTTTATTTCGTTTTCTTGTTAAAAGAAAGAAGAAAACAAAGGAAATAGAAACGACGCACTGTCGGCCTCGGCCTCCGTGCAGATACCCGCCGTCTTCGCAGCGGCGAGACACTGCAAGGCACCCTCACCAGCAGTAAAACCCGACTCCCCCGTCCTCTCGCAGACGCATTGGAGCGCAGAGTCGGATGAGCAGTGGGCACCCGCAAAGTTGGCCACCAGAAACGAGCTGAAGCACTCCCGGGCGCACTGGGGGAGCGAAGCGACGACGGGATCGTCATTGTTCGTCACGGCGTTTACGTAGTGGGCGGTTGTGGTTGCAGGAAGGAGGAGAATGAGGAGTATTGTCGTCGTCCGGAACAAGGCGGAAAGGTGGCGGCGGAGGGCCATTCTTAGCGACGACGTAGACTGAGCAGAGGAATCGTGTGGACGAAGGACAGCATCTCTAGTTTGCATGCCATCCTATCATCCTCCGCATGTCTATTCACTATCCCACAGCTAGGGCTTAGTCCATCAGTTGAGATCTGAGTATGTTCCAGTTGTCAGTTGTCGGGTGCAGACCGATGGTACGGGATTCGGGAGGCAGGTTGAAGAACAGGGTTCGTCGAGAAGCGAAGGAAGGAAAGATGAAGAAACGAGGGTGCAACAGGGTGGGACAAGTATTATGAACGAAGAAGGTGCTAAAAGGATTGGTTTTCTTTTCGTTAAAAAGGAGAAGGAAAAAAAGAATGTCTACTGCGGCAGGATTGCAAGGAACAAGGAATGGGATGGCAGCGTCAAAAGCGAGCGTGGATGTGAGAAGTGGGTGGTGTGCCCTTGTGGGTGTTCGGCGGAATGTACAGCAGCATATCATGCAACAAGTCCTAATTTAAGAAGAGACGGAATAAAGGAAGAAGAACGACCCGGGGATCTAAAGAACTAAGCCTCGTAAGATGGCTACAAAAGGCAGTGGGAGTGGGAGTGCAAGTGCATGTCATAGGTGGTGGTGGAGGCCGGGGCAGTTTAAGCCTCCCGCGGTGGGTGGGCGGAGGGAGTCGGCCATGGTACCGCCGCCCGTATCGGCAGTAGATGCAGGTGCACGAAGCAAGAGGAGGAGATGGGGGGAATCTTAATGTCTGGAACCTGCAGCCGGAAAACACATGTCGAAACGTGCTTCACATCCCAATGTGGGAACCATTGCAACTCGCCTCAGTGGAGTGCCAAGTCCATAGCTTTATCCCTTTGTCAAGGATGTTGAAGGATAATCAGCTGAGTACGAGTCTCATTAAAGCTGGAGAACAAGTCAAATCCATTCCAAGGGGATGGTAGCCGCCAACCATCTCAAGCTCCTATTAGAGAGTGGGCGCTAAGATCATGACAGACCTATCATAGGCTCGGAGCCCAAGGCACAGGAGGATGAAAGACATTGGACAAAGAGAAAGTACAAAGCAGCCACAGCCCACATTATTGGCATTCGGTGGCCCTTTTTTTTTTCCCCTTTTCCTGCAGGCTGCAGGTCCTAATTCCAGTGGCCCTCGTCTGGAGTTACCGAAGTTGGGGCCAAAAAAGAAGAGTCGAGATAATGATATGGTTAATCATGAACGGGGAGGGAGGGGCGGATCTGGGGGCAATAGAGAACTCCCAAAGGTTAAAATGACACTCGCATCGCAATAACAACATTGGCCAAGATGGAAGACGCGAATGCTGTCGGTAATGGCACGATCCGGGATGCAGAGGAATCACAGCGTGGGAGAGAAGCAGATACTTCGCACTGCGGGAGGCGGTGGCGGAGAGCAGTCAGAACCGAGGAGGAGCCGGATGCATGCAGATGGCAGGCTATTTCGAGGATGTGCGGTCAAAAGTGGCTTTGTCCAGCCTGCTTCGTACGAAGTACCTTTGTAGAGCAGACATGAGTTGATGGGAACAAGAAGAGCACCACCCACTGCGCCGCCTTTTTGCTCTTGAAGACAAGAGGATGAGAGAACTCTGAAGTACTCTTCAATGTATATAAAAAGTACCTTAGCGATTTTCTATTATGACGATAGTACCCAAGTGTTACTTGGTCCAAGAGCCCACTGCCACCCCCAAGCCAATAAAGCTCGGCGCCCTGAGTCAGTGCTGAATTTAGCCGCCAGACCCTCCAAAGTAAGCGCGCAGCCTGGACGATCTAGCGCTTCTCTTGTCCACCAATTCTTCCGTCTCCCTCTCCGACGCTGCCGTGGAGCCACCAGTGGACAGTGGCCCCATCGAAATGCATTTTGATGCCCATATCTGCCAACGGGGGCCAACAATAATAGATCGCGTCGCATGATGCGAGTGCGTGGAGTGCAGGACTTCTAGATGGTTTCCCTCGGCGACACTGGCTCCCGCCCAAACAATCCCATTGGGAAAATCTTCGAGCCTGGCCCCAAATGAACCAATTGGCACGGCTCCGCCAGGCACCGGACGTCATCTCTGGGGCTGGGCGCTTATGTTCTGCTGCCAGTGCCACCCACTCAGTGCCAGATTTAGAAACACGCTGGCCGCATTTCGCGACCGCCTCATATGTCCCGGGGCCAAGATTCCCGAATCGCCATCCCGTCTACTCCTCGAGGGATGCAGGCCACTTGCACCAAAACCATAATCCGTTTCAGAAAAAAACTACGAGATGTACTACCTGGTATAACACGACAAATCACACAGCTCGCTGTTCCCTATTCCTTCCCTCCACGCGCTGGGCAACGTGATCCCTGGTACTTTTGTACTTTCGCCTTTCTTCAATACCCTGCACGTTTTAACCCCAACGTAGTAATTTATCTCGGGGGGCGCCTTGTGAAGCTCACTAATGCAGTCCAACAGCCCCTGGTCACTTTAGTTGGTATCAGCGAGGTGACTACCTCGTCGTCGGCGTCGCCTCCCGAGACTTCTCCTCGGCGCACATATTACTAAAATCTCCCCGAAGCCTTACCTCTTCCCGCTCCGACGCGTGACGAGGAATGGAGGAAGGAACAGAAAAGAAAAACACTGGAGCGGTGTGGACAAAGCGGCACGTTTCGAGCGAGGGAAAAGAGCCCCAGAATAAGCGACGGCAAGAATGCACCACAATGAAGCACGCACAACTCCTTTTATCCCGTTTTATCATACCAATGAGTCTACTGTATTGAAATGTTGCTCTTTGGGGATAAAAATGTGTATTAGGATATCTCTTTATACGACTCTTGCACCGTACGCCGTTTGTCAATGTCATCTCAATGTCATCATCTCTCTGGGCTATGGCCCAGATGCGCAAGAGATCAATTCGTCATGTATCAAAAGCTCAATACTCATAGTACTACAGCCCACAAGATCATTCGTCAGAAGGCTGAGGATCGGACATATCCCGTTACCGCAGGCTGGACAAGAACAAAGAAGGCTTCGCTTATGTGATGTCGTTCCTCGAAACGATCCGCGTCTTTTCGACTGCTGCTGTAAAAAGAAAGGCACGAGCTGCCGTAAGACCGACAGGTTCCGATTTTTTTTTTTTGGTTTTCGTTTCTTTTGTCTTTTCTGCCTCTCCTTTTTGTCGAGGGTGGCCGGCTCGTGTCCCAAGTTGACACCATATCAATCCCCCCAGCAGGCCACCTCAGCTCCATTGAGCCCCTTCACCACCAACGCGGCTTCACCACCACCGGGGCCCTCTAGGCCTCGGCAGGCTGTCGAGGGTCCGTGGCGCTAGGGACGAATGCCGCCTGCGCGCGGTTGGATTTAATGACGGCCTGGACGCGCTTCTCCGCCTCATCCCAGTCGTCGGGCTTCAGCTGCACCAAATCGATACCGTACTGGTTCGCAATGTCGCTTAGAGCCTGGAAACTCTTCTTATCATATACGAAACTGATGCTGACGCCGATGCGACCAAATCGACCAGTTCGTCCGATTCTGTGAAGATATGTCTCCGGATCAGGCTCGCTGTCGCCCTTGCCCTTCATGGGGATATCGTAGTTGATAACCATGGACACCGTCGATACATCGATACCGCGAGCCAAGACGTTGGTAGTGATGAGTACCTTTGTCTTTCCGGACCGGAAGTCCTCGAGCAGGGCATCTCTCTCCGCTCCCTCAAAGGCACCGTGAAGAGCCGTTACGCGGTGGCCGTCAGCTTCCATTCGCCGCTTGATCTCACTAGCACTCTCACGGGTCTAAAATGAGCGCCCAAGTTAGTAACGCAATCTATGAAAAGGCAAAAGGTAGAATGGCCTCCGTGAATTAGCTTACCTTGACGAAGATGACGGACGAACCAACAGTCATTAGTCCGTACAACTTGCACAGAATGTCGTACTTGTCCTGCTCGCCAGGGCAGTCCATATACATCTGAGAGATACCCTTAACTGTCTGCTCACCAGCTGCAAGGGTCATCTTCAAAGCCTTGGGGGCAAATTTATCGGCGTATCTCATGACTTTGTCGGGGAAAGTGGCTGAGAATAGTAGAGTTTGGATGGTTCGAGGCAACAACCTAAAGGAAAAGAAAAAAACGAAACGGCGTCAGCGTCCATATCTTCAAGTGTTCCGAGGGGAGGGCCACACATGTATCGCATGTGAGCAGGAGAACGTACTGCTTGATTCGCATGCACTGGTCACCCAGACCCTGCTGATCTAGCATGTTATCGGCCTCATCGATAACGAGGATACGTAGCTGAGAGACATCAAGCTGTCGGCGTCTGATAGTATCCAACACCGTGCCCGGGGTTCCCACAACGATATTAGCCTTGACAGCTTCTCCTCTGGGAAGTGCGCCTGGGACTGCAGCAGCAACCTGGAGACCCTCGCAGAATCGACCAATTTGTTTGACAACGGTCTCGATCTGGCGCGTGAGCTCTCGACTGGGGGCGAGCGCCAAGGCCTGCGGCACGTCGGGTTGGGTCAGGTCGATGCGCGAAAGCATGCCAATGACAAACGCGGCCGTCTTGCCAGTTCCTGACTGTGACTGAGCAAGCAGATGGTGAGGGGGGTCCTTAAGCATCAACGGAATTCCGGTGCCCTGGATCTTTGAGGGCGCGCGGTATCCGAGGGCAAGAAGTCCCTGAAGGATTTCGGGCGATCTAGAGGAAAGCTTGGTTAGCTAGATGCTTTATGTGTGGAATGAGCCGTCGTTGGGGAAAGGGTTGGGGGGGGTGGTTGAGGATGTGGTTGTCGCGACAATTACACACAGATTGAGATCTTTAAAAGTCGTCGCCGAGTAGAAAGGGGTGTTTTGATCCGCTTGGAGATCGCTCAAAGTGACCTGGACGTTCTGTTCCGAGTCCCAAAGACCGGGGCCACCAGCAGGGGTAGCCTCCTGGGCGTCAGCTGCAGGAGCGGCACCGGTGGCATCGCCTTCAGCGGGCGGCTGGGTAATTCGGCTGGCGAGGTCCGCCATGGTTTGGACGTCGTAGATGATGGTGTGGATTGATTAGGAAGAAAATGATATCAGCCGTTCAGTTTGATGGGCGGGCTGGCTGATGGTTTGTCGACCTGGGCGAAGCCGTGTCAGAATTCTCGTTTCTGAGCGGGGTACCAACTCGAGGTGTATGGCATTGGATGGAGCTTCAAGGATGGTAGGAACCTACGGGACCCTGGGGAGATTTTTGGATTCGCTTGTCGTTTGAAAGGGTGGGATGGAAGTTGGAGGAGTTAAAGTCGAGAAACGGATTGGTGGCGGGATGGAGGGGTATATCAGCTTTCTCTCCGTGCCGTACAACTAGGCAGCCTTACTGAGCTCGTGCTGAGCTCCGAGTCGAAGTTCCAGCCGATTGTACCTGGTGGGGTGTTTACAGGTGAGGAAAGGCAAAATACAAGATGTCGGTGTTGGTATCAAGGGCGAATGTGATGGCGGGGTTTTTTTTTCGGTGGAGCAATGATGATCAACAATTCCCCTTGACATCTTGCCCCACCACAGGTGCTTCCTTCCCAGCTCAACTGTATTTAACCGAGCTTCTGCCACCTCCCTTTCTAAAGGTCAAGAGCCTTCACTGCTATTAAGATGAACTTGCAAATTTCCACACTTCCCTACACTATAAAGCATTTATCAGGGAGAGTACCATCCTTTTTCAGTGATTGCTAGTTATAAAATATCAATCCTTGGTAAATGAGAGAGATAATAAAATCAGAGAGGAGAATACAAAGTTAGAGGGTGATAAAGAATACTTACTGCTGGACTGCAGCTTCCTCACAAGAACCTCTACATTCTCTCTGTTAGCCCACTGTGGCGTGGCAAACTGAGGGACTACTCGTCGGAGGCAGCATCAGTCAAATGCAGCCCATTGTCTGGAATCTTGAAAGCTCTATTAATGAGGGATGTTGATATTGGTCTTTTGTAAGGAACTCTGTGAAGATCATCTTACATGTATAAGCTCTAATGCTTTCTTCTATTCCATTTCTCAGCTACTATTTCCCCCTGGATAGTATTGCTTCAATAAAATACTGAACCACTACATCAAAATCCCACTGGACGATGCATCAATGATTGGGCTCAAGTGGGTACTGGGCAGACCACATTGCAATTTGAAGACTTGGACAGTTTGCGACTCCACGCCCTCGGTGCTCAGCAGGGCGGCCAGCTCTTGTCAGGCTTGTAACAGTGATCTTGATTACTCATTCAGAGGGTGGCTGTACCACTATCACAGTTGCAGGGGCGCGCCGTTAGCTGGAGGAGACTTCGTAATGCACGAGCTTTAGTGCTTCGTACTCGCGTCCTAGTCCAAAGTATTGTTGCAACTCATTTGCCTTGTTGAAACCTCAAATCGACTGGGAAATATCCGTCCAGGATCAACTCAACTCTCCCCCCAAAAGACTTCACCCGTTGCCTCCGCTTCTCGCCGCCCAATTCACTTCCTTTTACATGCTTAGAGTAATCCACATGATTACACTTAATACGTTAATATCCCATAATGGCTGAGATCGAGTCGTTGCCGACTTTCGGCGCAGAATTAAAGGTCAGCGAACGATGTCTATTCTCACATGCGCCCACAGGTTACCTACCCCTCGCACCAACCAGACCCCAGATGAAGCCAAGCCTTCTGCAGCATCTTGTCGCTGGATATTCTCGTCGCTAACCGTTCCACCTTCCGATAGGATGGCTTCAAACCCGCGTGCACCTGGGTAGGCCACGAGATCGCCTGGCTGGACGAGATACAGCAGTTCTACCGAGAGCGGAGTGCCATTGAGAAGGAGTACAGCGCGAAGCTAAACGCACTAGCGAAGAGATATTTCGAAAAGAAAAATAAGAGGTCGGCAGTCTTGAGCGTTGGCGAGACTCCTTCTATGACCCCAGGCTCTTTGGAAAGGTGCGGCTCTCTTTACATTCCCTGCTGAGTTCTGCCAGAGTGTTGCGGCTTCGGAAAGAACACCGAATCTATGGGGAGGCAACTTTTAACTATTTTGCTTGTTACAGTGCATCTCTGACTACCTGGACAACCCAACTCACGACGATGGAATCGAGGGCGACCGAACATGACCGATACGGCAACGACTTAATCACCCGAGTTGCGGACCCACTCAAGACTCTAGGACAACGATTCGAAGACTTGCGGAAACGTCATATCGAGCACGCGGACAGGCTTGAGAAGGAGAGGGACTCGTCATATTCGGATCTGCGCAAGATGAAGGCCAAGTACGATGCTGTGTGTCAGGAGGTCGAGAGCCGACGCAAAAAGACCGAATCGTCCTTCGATAAGGCAAAAGCTCAGAGCCATTATCAGCAGCAGATAATGGACATGAACAACGTCAAGAATACGTACCTCATCTGCATCAACGTCACCAACAAGCAGAAGGAGAAATATTATCACGACTATGTCCCCGAGTTGATGGACAGCTTACAGGACCTCTCCGAGTTTCGCACCATCAAGCTCAACGATTTATGGACGCTGGCAGCCCAACTCGAGCGAGGCATGCTTGAACAGAGCCGCAGCCTTATGGACAACCTTGGCCAGGAGATTACCCGCAACCAGCCCCATCTTGACTCCCTCATGTACATGCGACACAACGTCGGATCTTGGCAGGAGCCCCCAGACAAGACGTTTGAACCGAGTCCCGTCTGGCACGATGATGCTACCATGGTTGTCGACGAGAATGCCAAAGTATACTTGCGGAATGTGCTTACAAAGTCTAAGAGTCAGCTCGGAGAGCTGCGGCGCGAGGTTGACAAGAAGAGGCGGGAAGTTGAAAGCCTAAAGAGGGTGAAGCAGAAGGTACGGGATGGTACCGAGAAAAAGGATGAAGTGGAAGTAGTGAGGCAGATATTTGCTCTCCAGGAGGAGCTGCATTTGCTTGATCGCAAGCGCTTGACGGCGGAGGTGGAAACGTCAACTATTACGACGACAGTTGGTGACGTGACACTTGGAGCGAAAAACCACAATTTCAAGTCCCAAACGTTCAAGATACCAACCAACTGCGACCTCTGTGGCGAGCGCATCTGGGGCCTTTCGGCCAAGGGCTTCGACTGCAGGGATTGCGGGTACACTTGCCACAGCAAGTGTGAGATGAAGGTCCCCGCAGACTGTCCAGGCGAAAAGTCGAAAGAGGAACGCAAGAAGCTTAAAGCAGAGCGTCAAGAGGCAGCCAACGCGCTATTATCTCCACCCACAGGACCGCCGGCGCACGTGGCCGAGCTTCCAGATCTAACGAGGTCGAATACAATGACGTCGTTAAGCTCTGGATACGCAGCCAGTGCCAACAGATCTGTTTCTATTTCCGGTACGGCTTCGAGGCCACTTTCGTCCTCGGAGGAGAACATACCCGAACTCGCTAGCCCGCGAACATCTTTAAGCACCACCACCACCACCGCTACGGGCGGGGCCCGCAAGAACCGAGTCGTTGCGCCGCCTCCGACGTCTTATATTAGCGAGCTTCCTGGCTCAACCGACTTTAACTCCAAGAAACCGGAGCAGAAGGGCAAGATGCTGTTCGCCTTCCAAGCAAACGGCGAGGGAGAGCTTACAGTTCCCGAAGGCCGCGAGGTTGTGCTGCTCGATCCGGATGGTAAGAATGCGCCGATTCTTTTCTCTTTTTTACTTCTTTCTCTTTTACGTTTCAAAACACTGAATGGCTAATATTCTCTGTAGATGGAAGCGGTTGGGTGAAGGTCCGTGCTGGGTACAAGGAAGGCCTCGTCCCTGCTACATACGTTGAATTCTCAGCTGCCACTCCAATAGCGCCACAGACTACAGGGCCTTCGGGCCGGCCGTCATCCGCGTACTCCAACTCGGGATCATCCATAGGGGGCGCTTCACTACAACCTAAGAAGAAGGGACCTGCGGTAGCGCCGAGACGGGGTGCAAAGAGACTCAAATACGTTGAAGCACTGTACGAGTACACAGCGCAGAGCGAATCGGAGCACAGCATGGTAGAGGGTGAACGCTTTGTCCTCATCAAGGATGACCCGGGCGACGGTTGGGCCGAGGTAGAAAAGGGTGGCGTCACCAAGAGCGTGCCCGCAAGCTACGTCAAGGCGGTCTAGATGCCTGTGAAACCGACGAGGACCGCTGCGGCAACATGGGCCCCGATCGGCGGCGGCGGTGGTCGGCCCTTTGACGTGATGAACGGGGTGCTTGTGAAGACTGCGCGGCGGCAGACGACGAGCGTTAGGCTTGTCAAGAGTCCGAGCCAGAGGAGCGCGGGGGAGATCGAGAGCCCCGGGATCCATCGACGGGAGAAGACGCGGATGTCTTTGTCGCGGAGTTCGGGGAGCGTGGCTTATTAGTGGCAATTTTGAAGCCTTTCGGGGGTTGTTTTGGGGGGGGTTCTTCTTTTCTTGTTATACAATATTCTTTCGACTTTTGCTATTAGTAGTAGTAGTGCTAAGATTAGGCGCAAGGTGTTATCCCGGCATCATGGCGGAGGAAAGGACATTTCATTCCACGCAGCACTGGTTTTGCTCCTTGTTTTCCGTCACGAAGGGGAATTGAGGCATTATGGATTTCAGTAGCATGCACCGGGAAAGTCTAGAAGCACACGTTCGATAGGAGGCGGTTGATGATTCCTTGTCTAGCTAGCGCCATTATGGTCATGATCATGGTCCTGAACTGGGGGGCGAAATAGTAGCAGTATTTGCTTTGGACGTGTTCGCGAAGGTGATGATGACGCCGTGCTGCTGACCCCGACTTCTAGCTTTCTGTAGGCGCGATATGTTTGTTCTCATCCCCGTTTTCCACTTCTGTCAAGGCGACGACTAACGGGTTCTGAATAGAGCTCTCGAAACTATTAGCAGGCTGGTTCCTTCCGTAACAAGACTCCCCCAAGGCCACACTGGGCCGGCGAGTATATGTTATATATGAGATCTTTGATCTAGATTCTCAACGGATCATGGAGTCTCAAGTGGTCGAGCGGTGACGCACTGCTTACAAACTACTTCCGCAAGGCGCCGGCGTGGAACCCGGTCTGGTCAAACCATGAGACGTGGAGGAAATTGGGAAAGGGAAATTGAGATTTGGGGAGGGAGAAGTGGGGATTCTCTTTTGGACGTCTCCTCATTACACTGTTGTAATCTCCTTTTCCGTACGAGAATCTCTGGTGAGGTCCTGAGCTGCTCTGTGATGCTCTGGGAGAGGCGAAGGAGGGACTTTAGGAGAGGTTTGGGTTCGAAACTGGAGCTGTTGTGGCACTCTTTTTTTTTTCTGCCCCCTAAAAACATCAATTCACTCGGCATTTCACTTGGCAAGGACTCGGGTGTTCTCTTGAGAACTCCACAAGTTCAGAGTGTACTACTTGTCGAACATTATATGCTCTTCATTATCTGGCGGTGCTTCGGGCAATGCACGAGGGGAACCGCTGGCCCCAAATCAAAATACCAGGAGAAAGTAGCAGGGACTCCTTCTGGACTACCTTGCATGGCACTCTGCAAGGCATTCTTGACCTTGGCTGTTGAGAGAGGGTCGGTGTGCGTAATTTGGCAAGGGGATAATATCGTATAGTTGAATCCGGGCAGGGATTTGACTAAGGTTACCGTCAGGGTAGGATGAAGGCTAATAAAACGTCGGTACTTGGGCGAGGGAAGACCTTGTCTCCAGTCACCGACATTGTCAGTTTGTATGTATAGCCAACACTTAATGAAGAACGAAATACTCTAATAAGGTCTTGAATCGATGTCATTCGATCAACGGCGTGGAGCCAACCAGCACAACCAGCACAGCACCAGCGTTACAGGATCCAAACAAGATTTCCATGGCATGCAATGCACAGCCGGAGGATATAAATGGAGCCAAGCTTTTTTTCTTGCACATCAACTTTGCTGTTGTCGGCCCGCATTTCATCCCTGTAATCTCCATGCGGTGATGATCTTGGCAATGCGGGTTGAGATCTGGGAGAGCCCCAGTAAGGGAAATCAGCGCACAGGTAGTGGTGCCTGCATGCAACCAGGAGTCCAGTGGGCCAAGGACATCTTAATCGAACATTACCTTGCTCTTCCGGTGGGATAGCCACCTGTTTGGTGGGTTCGCTGGCGGTGAGGGAACGAATAAGGTTTTGGATCGAGGAAGCAGACTGCAGCGACCTGGTTTGACATTGGCGCCGGGATTGGCAACTGGTGGAGAAGCCGGAGGAAGACACGAAACGCCGCGTAATCAAAAAAGAGACTTCATCGTCGCGGAGTTCTTTCTCACCTCTTGGCTATGAGTATACTCATTTGATGTTCTGTAAAAAAGATGATACTGCAATCTCCTGATACTGCGAGTTCTTGTTTGTTCCCGGTGTCATCCTTGACGGCGAACCTGATCCACTTGAACAAGAATATTTGATGGATCCTTCATTTCATGATCATTGATTTTGCAAAAAAGTCCACGTCCGTGTTCTGAGGAGGAGATGTCGCTCATTCGAGAAGCCCTTTCCCTCAAATCCGGTTTTGGGCTTCCGCTCTGAGCCGGGGCCAATGATGTGTGTCGAGGATAATGCAGACTTCTTGGTGGCGTCCCCCTCTTCAGGGGGGAATAGACGGATACCAAATTGGCTCGTCGTCAGGTCAGTGTTATGAGAGTGGGCCAATGGTGTGGAAAACGCCCATTGATCTCACCTCCAAACAAGTTGGCGCTCGAGTTTCTTTTTGGACCCTCCTATAAATGGTGGCAGTGCACATGGAGGTGATCCACTCCGGCCTCGCGTATCCAGTTAGTCCGCCTTCACCCCTTGAGGATAGAACACGAGCTCCAAGATGGTCTGTTTCAAATGAGTATTTTCCTTGGCTTCAGGGTCCCAGAGGCGATTTCATGGGCAATCTTCGAAGATCGAAATCAGAAGCCAGATCTATCCAGTGAAGATATGCTTCGTAAGAATGTAACGACGCTATAATGAAGCATTCGTCGAAGTTCAAGATTGCCCCCGTACGTGAAAAGGCGCGTGGAAGTTATCCCGCATCGTCTCTTCCTCAGAGCAATTTCACCCAGCAGATCTCGTATCGACAAGAGCGAGGACACCACGGAAGAGGTACTCCGTACGAGAGGTCGCAATATTTCGTACTTCGTACTTGCGGTACTTGGTCGAGGAAGAGAGCAATGTTCGAGATAGAATCTGACAATGTATCAATAGTGTACATTGGAAACAATTTGTGACATTAAAGTCTTGGTATTTGCTACATTTCAATTGAATGCAATTTAGCCAAGAACCAAATGTACCAGTCACCTTAAGTCCCAATTTACGATTGTATTAACTGGCAATCCTCGATTGATGTCTTCTCTCATTGCAGCCCCCTCGGTGTCGCATATGTAATCTTGCACCCAGTGCTAAATACTGGCTGAATTGATGGGTTGATGGAAGTCGCAGTTCATTCGAAGTACAATAGCACAGAAGTTCGGCGTATTTGTACATGAGCGCTTCGGGAAACTAGCGACCGCATCACACTGTGCATCCCAGCCTATGAGGTATCTACTTCGTAGTGACCGCCCTCTCCGGCAATACTTCGTCTATCCTTGCAGTATTACCCCTGAGGGTGTACATGCAGTGTACCACAACATCCTTCACACCACCTCCCTCCCCAGTTTGATAAACGAGAGCCATATCCACCTCACCTCGCGGATTTGTCTTTCCAACTTCGACTCCGTCTTCATTCCCTCCACAATCGCTCTTTCCTTATTTTTTTCATAGTGGAATCCCATTCATCTTTACATTTTCATCCTTCGTACCCTCGTTAGTAAAGCCAACTCATTCGTTGTTGGCTTTTTGTTTATTTTCGGTTACTCCTGTTTTAATTCCTTTTGCCCTCGATCCGACCAGCGACACGCGAAACGAAACGCACCCGACTACACCACGAACACTGCGATCGATCAATTAAGTTATCACGATACAGCCTCGTACCGACATATTCGTCGCTATGAAGTCCGCCGTCCTTCTCTCGGCCCTCGCGGGTCTCGCCTCCGCCAACCCTACCAGAACCGAGAAGCAGCTCCCTAACCGTGCTGCTTCCCTCCCCGCCGTCACCGTCTCCGGAAATGGTAAGGAACAATCTCACTCGATTTAGGCAGCTACGGCCAGGATACCCCTCGGATGTTTATTTTTGCATTTCCAAAAGGCATGTGGTTAACAGGTATGACGTCGGACAGCTTTCTGGGCGGGCAAAGATCGATTCTATATCCGCGGCATCGATTATCAACCCGGTGGTTCCTCCTCCGACGAAGATCCTCTCGCCGAACCCACCGTCTGCAAGCGTGATATTGCGCAGTTCAAGAAGTTGGGCATCAACACTATCCGTGTTTACATGGTCGACAATACCTTGAACCACGACGAGTGCATGAACGCTCTCGCAGATGCCGGCATCTACCTCGTCCTCGACGCCAACACCCCCAAGTACTCCATCAACCGAAAGGAGCCTTTCCCTTCGTACAACGGCGCCTACCTCCAGAACGTCTTTGCCACCATCGACATGTTCGCCAATTACACCAACACACTCGCCTTCTTCTCAGGTAATGAAGTCATCAACGAGGAGCCTGGTACCACGATCAGTGCCCCCTACGTCAAGGCCGTCACTCGTGATATGAGGAAGTACATCAAGACTCGTGGATACCGCAGCATTCCCGTTGGTTACTCCGCCGCCGATGTTTCGGACAACCGTATGCAGACCGCACACTACTTCAACTGTGGTCCCGATGACACTCGCAGCGACTTCTTCGCTTTCGTATGTTCAATCTCAACTAGGCCATGTCCACCGGAGGGTTGTATGGTGTTTCAATACTAACTGGTGACCCTTAGAATGACTACTCCTGGTGCAACACTGACTTCGTGACTGCCGAGTGGGACAAGAAAGTCCAGAACTTCACCGACTACGGTCTTCCTATCTTGTGAGTACACCTCCTCGCCCTTGCTTGACAGGGGGAATGAATTCGAAGCGTGTATATTAACTAAAACCTATCTTCCCAGCCTTTCGGAGTATGGTTGCACGACGAACGGACGTGACTTCAACGAAATTGGGGCACTCATGAGTGCTAACATGACTGGTGTCTATTCCGGCGGTCTCATGTACGAGTACAGCATGGAGTCGAACGGTTTCGGTATTGTCCAGATCAACAAGGACGACACTATTACCGATCTCAAGGAGTTTGACAACTTCTCCAAGGCTCTTGCTAAATACCCCGCGCCCACCGGTGCCGGCGGTGCCGCCTCCACGACCCACGCCGTCGCTTGCCCTACCCAGGACTCCATCTGGGAAGTCGACCCTGATATCCTCCCTGCTATGCCCACTACCGCCGAGAAGTATTTCAAGGATGGTGCTGGTACCGGTCAGGGTCTCGCCGGCAAGGGCTCTCAGACCGACTGGGACTCTGGCGTCTCCTCGACCAACATTACCGGAAGCAGCAAGGAGGGCGCCGCTAGCGAGGATGCCGCTGGTCGTATCGACCTCGGTGTTGGTGCTGTGCTCGTCACTGGTGGTGCCCTCGCCTTCAGCCTCTTCGGCACCCTCCTCCTGTAATTAGTTGGGGGAGTACAGTGAAGCATTTGTATCGGAAAAAAAGAAGGGGGAAATTTATTCAGTTTTTCAGTCTTGGTCAGTCTCATAATGGGAAAGGCGGTCCATGAATAGTTTCAAATAACACGGATTGGCATTCATGTTTTCTTGCGAGTTGTTCATATTTTACTGCGAGTCATTCATTCATTTTTTGTGGTTTCTTGCTTGTCACTTTAATTAGACTTTTTCTTTTTTTTTTTCCTCTCATGAACCTCATCTTCGAGTGCAGAAATAATCATTGATGGCCATCAATTGATCTCTATTCGCTTATTTGCATAGGACGCAGCTGTCTACAGACGATTATTCGGCGCGATGGTTCAGATTAGTGACATGTGAGAAGGGCGGAACTGCACCACTATTGTCTTCGCCGACGAAGGGCCAGCTGTGTTAGCCACGAGACCTGCCATGCATCCATCCGATCTGGCGCTGGGTTGCTGCAAAAGCTGCGAAGCGGCTTGGTCCTGGAACCGAGCACACACGGCGAAAAGCTGGGGAGCTGAAATATGCCCGGCAGCTTCAGCTGTTAAAGTTTGGCAGATACATGAACTTTGAAGATGGCCTGAACAGAGCGTCAAGAGATTTTAAGCGCACAACAGATTCATCCCTTTGGGGTATGTGGGGGAGAATATTCGACAGACAGATGAGATGGAGTTCAACGACTTTGAACTGTTGCTCGGCTCCTAGATCTGGGGTTGGGGTCCATAAAAAGAAGCGTCTGCCGAGTGAGAGGCGGCTAGACTCAAGCACATCTGAAAGTCTGGGAGTACGTCACCAGGAGCATGTGATAGCCCGCGTTTTGGGGAAGTTGATGGTTCAATGCTGATCGCACAGTCCTATTTCCGAGATTGATTTGGCCTTGGCGCGGGAGGGGGCATCTGAAAGCACGAAGCGGAAGGAAGACTCGAGTCAGCTGTGACAATGGATGGTGGCACCTTCGTTCTGGGGGTCAAAGTTGGCCCGACGGAGAGGACGGAGAGGACAGGACGGAGATTGACCTTCTCGAATGAAGCAGACAGATCAATTTGAAGCTGTTTAGAAGTACCCCAATGTATTGATTTGCGTGGTGTTGCATGCGATGGATACTTTGACTCTGGTTCAGTGGGGTAACAAGTCGCACGAACGGGAATGTACCCCTAGTGTGGTGTAGTTTGCGAGTCTAGACTGTGCAGTAGGCGGGGGGGAAACTCGGGGGTGCCTTTCCCCAACTCAAGTCGAGCTCTCACATGCCTCGATTTGGGGGGTCTTTCCTCTCATAAGCTTCCAATGCGCCGCGACCTCGGTACAGTATCTTTGTCACTTCTTGGAGCCTCCGACGACAGGATTGTTTAAAGCTTACCTGGTTTCCCCTTTGAGCCGTTATTTTTTTTTCTTTTTCTTCTTCTACTTGTAAATTCATCTTTCTCATCTCCGCATATCCTCGCCATCCGAAACTCGAACCCTCCGAGACCTCTCCTTTCGATTCTCTACGAAGTATCTGTCCCATCACCGCAACCATGTCTCTCAAGAACGGTGCGTCTCCAACCTTGTTGTCTTGCGATCATTCCTCATCGCATATTCGCACAGGATGTCCATTTAATTCCGAAACCCCCAAGAACGCAAAGAACTAACGTACATTCGATTGTCACTCACAGACAACTTCCCCTCCTCCGCCGCCTTCGACGCCATCAACGCCGCTCTTACCGCGAGCGACGCCGATCGCAAGGACGCCATCAAGCAGGGCGGCGCCGTCTTCGCCTTCACCCTCAAGAACAAGGCTGGCGAGGAGGAGAGCTGGTACATTGACCTCAAGGAGAAGGGTGAGGTGTTCAAGGGTGTTCCGGCCAAGCCGACAGGTGAGTTATATCCGGCCTTTCCCCACCCCCAACTCCCGACTTTCCTTATACTCGCTGCTCTACATCTCTGCGTCGCAAAACCGGGCGTTGGGAAAAAAGGAAAGTGTAAACCTAATTCGTGTGCCATGATAGTCACCCTCATCCTTTCCGACGACAACTTTGGCAAGCTCGTCACCGGCAAGGCCAACGCCCAGAGGCTCTTCATGGGCGGTCAGCTCAAGATCAAGGGCGACGTCATGAAGGCGACGAGGATGGAGCCCATTCTCAAGAAGGCCCAGTCCAAGGCCAAGCTCTAAATTACTTTTTTTTTCTTCTCTTTCTCTCTCGCTCTCTTCCGTTCTCTCTCTTTTTTTCTTTGGCTCCCATAAAATCTTTCAGTATATGATACCTTTGGCATAGTTTTTAGAGGAGGCAAACGTTCAAGGGGAAGGGAAAGGTTTACGGTCCGGTCAAGGGGGCGCGGAATTCTTGGGAAGGACAGGAATGGAAATGTACAATATTGTAGGACCTCTTTCCCTATGACGTGACGGCTTTTTTAATTACACATTAACCTTGTGGGAAAAAAAATGACTACTCGTTGTGCGCGCAACCCCCTGGTATCACAATATTCGTAGTTCCTCAGTTCGATCCTTCAGCGACGGTCTCGAAGTGCTTCTTATACCAAGCAACAGCCTGGTCCTCAGCCTCCATCCCAAACCTCGCCTGCCTCTCGTCATTCGGATCCCCCCTAACGGCAAACCCATGCTTCGCGCCATCATACAACCTCGTCTCGCAGTTCCCCTTGATATCCAGCACCCGCTTGAACTCGGCCACCTTCTCCCCCGTCATCCACTCGTCCGTGACTCCGTTGGCGAGGCTCAGCGGGAGGGCGATGGGGTTGATTTCCCGTGGCACGTCGACGAGGGAAGGGTGAGCCGTGAAGGCGCAGGTGACGGGGTTTTCGTTGCCCGGATCGGGAGGGTGGCAGAGGAGGATGGCGTATTTTCCGCCCCAGCAGAAACCGGCGACGCCGATCTTAGGAGGAATTGAGGAAGTGAATGGCGCTGGTGGATCGGCCTTGAGCGCGGAGAGGTAGGTTTGTAGACGGGAGAGGGTGACGGGGGGTCGTAAGCTGGTCAGGAAGGGGATGTAGTGATATGCGAGGGATAGGTAGAATTTAGGTTTGAGCACGAAGGTACGTCGCACAAAGGTAGTCGACTCGGCTGCGATCTCGTCGGAAAGCGGCAGCAGATTTATTGGAAATGCATGGCCTTTTTTTTTTTGTCGTAGCCGTTTGCTTTTCGTGTTAGTCCACCTCAAATCTTACAGTAGTTTTTCCTCGTGGGCAATAAAAAAGCGGGTCAAAGGGAACCAACTCACCGGCCATGAGGTCAGGCAACAAAACAACGGCAGGGATCCTCCGCGCATACGAATCGGCGAGGGCGCGAGTGTTGCGGAGTTCCCAGCCGAAAGCGTCCGGAATGATGACAACGATTCCGGTTGCGACGGCGGGCGGATCGGGACGGGCGACGTAGGTTGGGAGCCCGTGGATGATCTCGACGGTGCCGGTGGGTTCCAGGTCACCGCGGAGGGTGCCTTGGAAGCATTTGGCGCAGAATTTGGGAACTGAGCTGGTCATGATGGCGTTTTGAGGGGATTATTTGAGAGTGAGTTGGGGAATGAGGATATGAAAGAGGGAAGGGGAGGATAGATGATATGGTCAGAGCTGAGTTGGTTTCGGTTGGGCGGAGAGTGAGGAAGGTGGCTGGAACAGGTCACCTGTTGGGCGTTGAAGGCGAGCCGAGGGATATTCGTATTCACACTGACATTTGATCTTGAGTTCAAGTTGCTCACAATGAGATTTACTCCCAGTGTTTCATAGTGTGCAATCGATATGTCAATTGCCTTGCGCGACAGAACGGGAGAGTCAACGATGCGGAGCAAACGAAGTTTCTGTCTCGATTCGGGGCAGTGGAAGACGAGGAAGGAGCCATGACGCATGGATCGATCTTCACCAACACCTTCCAAAAACACTAACTTTATCATATACGATGATCTGGCAAGAACTCCCAACCGAGCAGCTCAAGGAGGTAACACTGCAACCGGCGGCCTCGACCAGTGGCCATTGGAGCGCACAGAGGGTTAGAAAATTGCAATTTTCGTAGCTCGTGGGAAGCTCCTAGTGATTCAATCGTGGGAGCAACCCGTGAGCTCTCTCTCTTTTTTTTTTTTTTTTCTTTTTTTTTCTTTTTTTTCTTTTTCTTCTCGTTTTGTGTCTTTTAGGGGCATTTTCTTTCCTCCGCGCTCAATTCAACACAGCATGTTGCGCATCCCCAATATTTATGAAATGCTTCTATTGACAACTTAAATAGCTCTTCTATTATCATTATTTATTTCTTAAGTTTTTTTTTTTTAACTCTTGAGAGGCTTGCATGGGTAGATTTACAGGGAGAGGATGGGATTTGCGAGAACATCAAGTGCTCCTTTGAAAGACAAGATGAATCCAATCGACCTTGACTGAGAACAGCTCCGTCCGATTGGGACGCATGAGGAGACAGATTTAGAACAATCCAATTGATCAATTGCGGATACAGGATACAGATACAGATACAGATACAGACGTAGATGCAGATGCGGAAGCGGAATCCAATGCGACTTGGGATTTGCTCGGGGCTTACAAAAGTAGTGGTGGATGGAGGCATTAGTGTCGTCAAGTGGATCGCGTCATTCACTCCCCCACTAACATGAGGCTTCACCATTGCAATGATTTTCCTATTTCATCGAACCCTCACCCTTCATCATTCATCACGGCTGCGAGGTGAATCTCGGGATAGTACATATATCAATTGATAGATTGAGCCGACCAAGATTACTCAACAATCCACGCTAGCACCATCAAGAACGTTGAAAATCCTCCGCTCCCCCACCTACTCATACTACTCATACTACTCATACTACTCATATCCACTATAATCATCACCACAATGGTACATAACCCCTCTTAGCTCTGCCCGCTACCATGAATCCCTTGATATAAGATGCTCATCTCATCCACCAGGTCCACGCCGACGCCGCCAACTTCGCTAGTGATCTCAGCAAAGAGCAGGTCTACGATCTGGTCCTGTTACAAGCGGAGAGTCTTATGTCCGATCAACGGAATTGGGTAAGATCCATCTCATGAGTTTTATCCCACTTTCCATTTGATGAGATGAGAGTGCTAACTCTGCCTGTCCTAGGTCTGGTAAGCTTTTGCAGCCTCACATTACTACCAACTCACCCTCTCGGGCTGGCCTATGCTGACGATGTCCTAAGCAACACGGCCAACATAGCTTCCCTCCTATGGCACGCATACAAATCCCTACCTGAGCCAAGCTCTCACGTAAACTGGGCCGGTACGTCCTCTTCTTTCCCTTCCCTAGCTCACACTGCCGCTCACGCCATGCCACCAGGATTTTACACCCTCGACCGTTCAGACCCCTCAGGGAAAAGCCTCATCCTCGGTCCCTTCCAAGGGAAAATCGCCTGCCAGGCCATCGCCTTTGGCCGCGGTGTATGCGGCACCGCCGCCCAGACACAAAAGACCCAACTCGTACCCAACGTCGAAGAGTTCCCAGGACATATCGCCTGCGATAGCGAGAGCAAGAGCGAGATTGTCGTGCCCATAACCGTTGACGATCCTAATAACGAAGGGGGGAGGAAAGTCGTCGCTATCATCGATGTTGATTGTGCTGTGGAAAATGGGTTTGACGAAGTAGATGCGAAGTACCTAGGCGAACTGGCCGAGCTTCTTGCGCGGAGCTGTGACTGGTAGATTCCTGATCTCTTTTTCTTAAGAACAAAAAAATAAATTAAACACTATTACATTAGAAATCGACCTCGATGACGTTAAACCAGGTATTTCCCGACTTCATCGCCGCATTCACCAAATGCGTAGCCTGTCCACGTGGCAAAGGCCGTCGCGACGCAAACAATCCACGCGCCCGAGAAAGAATCACATGAATCGTGAGCATCGCCAGAGAGGCCCAGCTCCCAGAGGTCATCACCTTCTCATACCAATACTGCACCGCGTCAAACTTCATGATTCCCTCGCCGTGGTCAGCATGCGCGTGCCCGAAAACCATGAGCGGCGGCCTGACGCGCCAAATCTCCTCTAAGAGGGACGAGCATCCGTAGCCGTTGTCGAGGTGGTACCGAGGTGGGCTGTGGCAGAGGACGATGTCCGTGTCTGCGGGGATGCGGTCTTCCCAGTAGTATTTGGCCACCTCGGGCTCGATTGAGAATCCGAACGGACCGCAGCGGACGGTGCCTGGGTTTCCGTAGATCTTGAGGCTTCTTGTTTGTGGAACTTCTGAGAGAGAAAAAAAGTCAGAGGTCTTAAGAGTCTACGGTATGAAGCATCTCTTTTAACGGATATGCATGCCCCTTTCCCTTACCTTTTTCATCGGAACCGGCTTCGATCTGGAGAGTCGTCACCGAGCTTTGAAGATAGACTATGTCACCCCAGTCCAGGTCCGCCTTGGTCCTGCCAGGCGTCTTATCATAAGACCCCATCTCCTTCTCAGGGTGAGCGGTAATAAAATCCGTATCCAAAAGATCATCGTGGTTTCCTCCAATCACCACTTTGTGCTTGTGCGGCAAACTCTTGAGCCAGTCAAGCTGTGCCTGCAGCTCCCTAAAGGTCCCATTCTCCGTCAAATCGCCGCCATGAAGGAGCAGGTCTCCGTTTGGTAGCTCGGGCTTGTAGTTGTGTGTGTCTGAGATGCACACAATCTTGATCTTGTTTGCGACTCCCTTCGGGTTTGTGGTTGAGGCCACGGAGGGAGAAGCTTGCTGGCCAGCTCGCTGGGCGATGCGGTAGAGCTGTTGCGCAATGTGACGGGCGGCTCCCACAGTGGGGATTGGCCTTGGTGGTGGCCCGCCGCTGGTGATGTGACTATCCATCTTGAGAGAATGCGTTCATGGGCAGTTGGATATTGTTACGAATTTCGAACTACTAGGTTTTAGTTTCAGGTCGTCTGGATTTGAAGCTAGATCCAAGTCATATTGCCGTTGCCAACCTTTTTGATGAACAAGGGGACGTGTGAGGATCGCCAATAAGAGACGTAGCATTTGCCATGAATCCAAGCTCGTGCTGAGCTCGCCAGCTCCGTCTGGTCTAACCTGAAGTACGAGAAGTACAAGGGTACCTTTGTGCAGCGAGACACAGTTACTTGGAGTGAAAGGATGACTAAGTGTTCTAGAACGCCCAGCTTCCTCTGGAATACTATTTCCGAAGTACAGCCGGATAATGATTGATGTGTCCGATAAGCTCCAAGACAACTTTATTGTTAGCTCCAGTCGAGGTTCGCCAAAGTACACGTTGAAATTGTCACCGCATATGGAAAGTCGCAAGAAGAACATCGTCGAGTCCGCATTCTTCGAATCCCTTCCTTTTCCTTTGCTCCACGAATGGTTTTGTAAAAGCACAGACGGGGGAGTCTCTATCTTCCATTCCTTTCCCTTCTCTTCAAAGTTTTATACTTTTTTTTTTTTTTTAACTATCCGAGTTTTTGTTCTTCTCTCTTTACATCGTTTTCACTTTCTGGTACTTGGGGTTGTGAAAGCTGGCATTTACTCCCATTCTCCACCACTCCAAGTAACCGTTGAGATTTCTCCACGAACTTCTGAGAGCCCCCCAATTCTCTTCGAATAACAATGCTGTTGAAACGCGCAGCTCTGCTGCTCTTCTCCTTAGCACAGCTTGTTCTCTGTGCTGAGGATTACTACAAGGCAAGTTTGGTGTCTCCCCTTGTCTCGTGTCCTGCCATCGAACTCCCCTCCCCAAGTGGCTCTCCCATACTAACCACCTAGCCCTTCCATAGGTCCTCGGAATAAGCCGCGATGCCTCCGACAAGGCCATCAAGTCCGCCTACCGCAAACTAAGCAAAAAGTACCACCCGGACAAGAACCCCAACGACAGCACCGCCAAGGACAAATTCGTCGAGGTCTCCGAAGCCTACGAAGCCCTCAGCGACCCGGAGCTCCGTCGCATCTACGACCAATACGGCCACGAAGGCGTCAAGAGCCACAAAGAGAGCGGAGGCGGAGGCGGTCGTCGCCAGGACCCCTTCGACCTCTTCTCGCGCTTCTTCGGCGGTGGTGGCCACTTCGACAGCCACGAGAAGAAGGGGCCCGCCGTGGAGCTGCGCGTGGCCGTCGGCCTCCGAGATCTTTACAACGGCGCCGATACGGAGTTCCATTGGGAGAGGCAGCACATTTGCGAAAAGTGCGACGGGACGGGATCGGCTGACGGCATCGTCGAGACGTGCCCCCACTGCCAGGGCCACGGCGTGCGCATCGTTAAGAGGCAGCTCGCGCCCGGCATGTTCCAGCAGTTCCAGACGCCATGTGACGCCTGTGGCCAGAGGGGCAAGATTATAAAGAATAAGTGCCCCGTGTGCCAGGGCCAGCGCGTCGTAAGGAAACCTACCCCCGTAGATCTAAAGATCCCACGCGGCGCGCCTCAGGAATTCCGCATCGTCTATGAGAACGAGGCGGATGCTCACCCGGACCACATCGCGGGCGATCTCCACGTCACCATCGTGCAGAAAGAGCCCGATATCAACGACGAGAACCCCGACAAGGTCGACGGCACTTTCTTCCGACGCCGCGGAGACGATTTGGTTTGGCACGAGGTTCTCTCCCTTAGGGAAGCCTGGATGGGCGATTGGACGCGGAACCTGACGCACCTTGACGGCCATGTTGTTCAGCTCAGCCGCAAGCGAGGCGAGGTCGTGCAGCCCGGTCACGTCGATACCGTTGTCGGCGAGGGCATGCCGAAGTACCACGAGGATGGCGATAGCGTGTATCACAAGACGGAATTTGGAAACCTCTTTGTCGAGTATACCGTTATATTACCGGACCAGATGCAGAGCGGGATGGAAAAGGACTTCTGGTCCGTTTGGGAGAAGTGGAGGGGTAAGATTGGTGTGGATTTGCAAAAGGATAGCGGGCGGCCCATTCAAGAGAAGGCTAGCCATGATGAATTATAGAAGTAGATTTTGGGCGATGGGAGTTGGGTGCGGGAAGCAGCCTAGATAGCTTTGCTCTCGGTTTCCCCCACGTTTCCTTCGCTTTCCTTTTCTTTTCCCTTTTTCTCTAAAAAGATTCTGCTGGCGTTTTGCGAGGGAGATGATATTATGTACGGCATTTGCAAGTTGGTGTGGCATGGCAAGTTAATGAAGACGATGTCCTCTCGCTTGATAGAGTATTGGACGGATTAGTAAATAGATGATCTGAAGATGTCAATCAGTGACGTTTCCAATGTGCTGTGTCAGAATACCGCAACCTTCGATGTACGATCATATTATTGCTACCCCCTCTGGTTCCTAGCCATATCCTATCCCTCATCTCTCATCAAGATGCATAGTCTAAGGGGGTTCTCAAGTATCCGAGCAGTAGAATCAGGTGTGAAGGATAGCATGAATCCAAAGAAATCTCTTTTCGTCAGTCATAAGGTCATACATACGAGAAAGAAAAGGAAAGGAAAGCAAAAAAGAAACAAGGAAAGAAGGAAGTCTAACCCCTCTTCCTCTAACCATTCGTAACCCAACCCATCAATTAACCGCGGACATAAATCCCCATGAAAACCAGCCAAGGGAAAAAAAAAAAAAAAAAAAAAAAACAGAACAGAACAACGCACTCGATGAAGGACCGTATATCATTGCCAAACTGAATAGACAAAAAGAAAGGGAAAGGGAAAAAAAAAATAATAATAATAAAAAAATAAAAACACCCATCCATCACCGTCTAATTTGAGCTCGACGCTCTGATTAGATCTCGAAATCTTGACCTCCTACCCCGTCCCTCGCCATCCTCCACAAGATTCTGGACAACTCCAGTTATCAGTCCCAGCCAGTTCATTCGCCCATCAATGACATCTGTGATTTGCTTCGCCATGCGCTCCACCACCTCAGGATCTGTACCACCTACATGCCACCCCCCATTGACATCCCATGTTCGAGAACGCCGCCCATGCCGGGGATTGTATGCGAACTGACCACTACGCTCAGTCCAGTGCCGAGAATCAGAAGTAGGCGGCGATAACGGCCGCCCTTGAGAGTCAAATCGATCCGGGAGGTACTCGACATCGTCGTCAGAGCCTGATGGCGAGTCTGATCGCTCACGGCGACGGACCGTTACATCATCCGATGAGTGGCGACGCCTCTCAATCAGAGGGCCGGCATCGGATCGCCTTCGTGGTTCAGGGGATGCACTCCTTTGTTTCCTGTGACGAAGTAGGGTTTTTGACGATTTTGGCGAGAGCGGAACGAAGGTGACAGACTTGGATCGCCGGCGCGCAGGTCGATGGCGAGGTGTGTACGAGTCCGCGTCGGACACCGGATCCTCATCGGACTCCGATGAATAGAGCCCTACCGTGTGCCGAAGACGACGCCGCCACTTTGCTGGCTTTACATGTTCTATGGAATACGTTAGCCACGAGTTTGCTCCTTACTGGGCCCGCCTGATGTTCAACTCAGCCCGAGGAACAGCGGGTTCGCCATTGAAATGGCCGAGTTAGACGCACCATCCGAGGCCCTTGGTGAGCGTGCATCTCGGGCAGGAGAACGACGGGATTTCCTACTCACATGCTCAGGTCCAATGGGAGGAGGTCGGTTTGATGGTCCTGGAGCAGGTCCCGGCGCAGGTCCTGGAGCCGTCGGTGGTGGGTATCCGGGAACGGCACCAGGGGGCGGTGGCGGCCCAGGATAAGCGTTTGGCTCCTGTGGTGGGGGGTAGGATGTGTAAACCGGGGCATCTGCTGGTGGTGGGCCCGGAGGAGGATAAGTAGCAGTCGCGTCTGGAGGTACCGGGTAGTAAGTCTGAGGGGGATAGGTGGAGAAGTCATTTGGGTCCGAATTGGCACCAGACATCCTCGGACGAGAACCTCCAGACGCGTGGCGAGGAGATGGTGGGTAACCGTCATCATCATAATAATCATCGTTTTCATAGCCTTGAATGTGGGTTAACATATCTACCCTTCATTATCTTGCGAGATCGAGATTTGGGGCGACATAGATGAGAGAGAATGAGAGAGAACCCGGACGGAAGAATGATACGAGGTAAGGCTACTAGGATTGATAATGAAGCTAATACTCACGTCTTCGCTCGCGCTCCCTCCTCCGCCTCTCGCGTCGATCGTCGGCCGACTCAGCCTCCCGATCGCTAGGCATGTCCCTGTCCCTGCTCTTTGATTTCTTTCTATCCTTGTATTCCTTAAATCCCATAGCAGCCGCACCGGTGCCTAGCGCAGCGGCCGCCATCTCTCGCAATCGGCTCCGGCTCCGTTTCGACCCCTTCGTGTCGGCTTCTGATGCTGATGAATCGCCCGTGTTTCGGGATCGGTTGCGGCGGCGGCGTCGTCGACGAGCAGCGCGGTCGGACTCGTCATCAGGATACGGTGGCTCGGGTCGAAGGGGGTCGTGTCCGTACTCAACTAGGCCTAGCTCACGATCAGCGGAACCGGGCTCGGGGTGGAAAGATCGGGTAGTCGACCTGCTGCGTGATCGCGAGCGCGATCCATGCCGGGGCTCGTAGTGGCTGTCCGAGCTCCTAGAGCGAGAGCGTTCTCTCTCCTCTTTCTTCTCCTTATGTCTCTGGTATAGCTTGCCGGCAGCTCCGCCAGCAACGGCGGCTGCGGCAATCTCGGCGCCGGTTCGTAGCCTTGACCGAGATCGGGACTGACTCTTGACCGATCTGGACCTTGATCTAGACTTGGATTTCGATCTGTTGCGGAGATGTTTGAGAACACCGGCAGTCGCTGCCGTGGCTAAGGCAGCCTTGGCGATGGACCTACTGCGACTCCGCTTACGGCTGGGAGACCGAGACGCATAATATTCGTCGCTCGAATAGCCCCGAGTTCTGCTACGGCCGCGTTTAGCTTCTTCCTTCTCAACCTTGTTCGCCTTGTAATACTGCGTCGCTCCAGCCACGGCGAGGGCGGCGGCAGCAATGCCAAGACCTGTCTTGATCCTGGAGTGGCGGTCACGAGAAGGGGAACGGTGGATATCGTATCGCTCATCAATAGCGCTACGAGCCCTTTTGAACGCTTCCGTCCCGAGCGCTCCGAGGGCAGCTCCAGCGACGACTTTGCGGCCACGGTGTTCCGGCAGTTCGCCATACTTATCGCGACGACTCGCGAGAAGGGCGGTAACACCGGCTCCAGCCAATGCACCCTCCGCAAGATGGAGCTTGTGGCGGTCAGAGTCCGAGCTAGATGAACTGCGGTCGCGAATAATGGTCCTGCGGCGACGGTGCACGACGTAACCGTCATCGCTGTAATCGCCATCACTGGCATAGTTGCGTCTGCGACCACGGCGTTCTACCTTGTACTCGCTTTCCCGGCGGTAGGGGCCGATTTCCTTTTTTTCATGTCGGTAATAATATTCATCATCACGGTGGGGTTTTCTGCGTACAAGTTCGCGGGATGGTTCATCCCGGATAACAACAATGTTGGGATCCTGGCGGGGCACAATGATCGGGGCAGGAGGTGGTGCTTCCTGGACGATGATCCTTTGCTCGGGCGCACGTTGCCTGAGAACGAGTGGGTTGGGTGGTTCATATGGCGCGTAATACTCAGTTTCCTTTCGGTAGCGTTCGATGTCTGGGCGGCCATCCCCATCTATGTCATGGTACTCCTCGTAGCGTCTTTGGATCTTTAGGTCACCGTCCGAAGTCCTCTCGACACGCTTCTCGAGGCGCATGTCGGTCTCTTCGGGTGCTTTTCGGCCCCAGTCCCGGTCGCGACTACGATCGTGGCTGTGATCATGATGGCTATGGCCGTGATCGTGCTCATGCCCACGCGAAATTTCGCGTTCATAGGTATAGCTGCGGGCACGATCGTCATCGTCGAAGTGATCTCGGTCTCGATCCCGGTCATGTCGGCGCTCCCGCTTGACCTCTTTCTCTTTCTCATAGACGAAGTCGTCATATGGGTCGGCTTCTCGTTCGCGTTCAACCACTCTCTTTTCGACAAGGGCGGTGCTGGGGTATCGGGGATCATCGTGATCGTCGTAATTGCTCGGGGACGTCACCTTGTAGCGACGGAATGTAGTGCGCCGCCTCTCCTCATCAGATGAGTCGTCATCTCGGCCCCGTTCCCGATAGGTGCGGGTCTCTCTGTATAACTCAGCCATAGCTTTGCTGCTTCTGGTCTGGTATGTGTGTCGGGTTGCGTGTGTAAGTGTGGGTGTATGTGTGTTAATGTCGTTTGTGGTATCTGATAGATACGCGATAGTAAATGAGTCGATTCTTCGACCTTGAGGTATTTGATATTTGTCTTGTACAATACAAGGAAAAAAATTGTGGGTGGAGTAAGATCAAAGAGGGGAAGGAATAAGACGAGTGACGTGAGGTGGAGGAGTGTAACCGGATTATAAGTAGTAATAGCTCAGGCAGCGAAAAAGTACTCAGGCTTACGAGGATTGTCTCCCATTACAATTGTACTGGCCGCTCGTACACCATCAAGAGGCCTGCATCATGCGAAACTGGGCTGCGCCTTGGGTGGCCAGTTTATGGGGCCAGGTGAGGTCTCGGGTGCAGGACTGGGGAAAGAGTGGGCGGCAACGTTGAGAAGGGACAAGGTGACCTGGAGAAAATTGAACGGGAGGGTGGGCAGAGCATTTCGGGATGATGGGAAAGGAGCGAAGGACCGACCTTGACAAGCAGGCAGGAGTGACGTGAATGTGCACTGCGAAGTACAGGCATTACTCAGTACGGATGGGAGGGGAGGGGAAGGGGGAGTGGGAAATTGGAAAGAGCTCCTGCAGGTTTGGGTGTGGACTGGAATGCAGGTAAGAGTCATCCAATCATGCACAAGCAGTTCTCTCGTGATTGACGTTGACGACGGAAGCAGCGAACGAGGGGATCTACGAATTAATGCCGGCAGACTCCGGCCAATTCCCAAGCCCAGCCCGTCTTCGGTTCCTACTGGTCGGGGCTGCTCATCCGCTTCTTCTGGGCCACACCCGGATTATGGGTGATGAAAAAATTGAGGCTAATGGGCCTGGCCCTCAGAAAACCCGCTCTGGGTTCCCCGGCGAGACGCCAGCATAAGAACGGGCTAAGGCAGGCGCTTGGATGCAGGGAATATTGATCCATTGCCAGCAGAAATGCCACTCTGAGGAATGCCGACGCTCAAGAGCCGAAGAAATAAGAGCGTTAATCCTGGCTTTCCTCGGAGGTAAACGAGTGTGAAAAGATACCAACAAACCAGAGGAGGCAGACAACGCCTTAGGTTCGTCTGGCGACTGCTCTCAAATGACAGACTACCACTTGCCAATGCCGCCACTCAAAACGAATGCGAACCAACGAAATAACCGATAAAACAAGGAGACCTACCCTCCAATGAATATCATGAACTATGATTGACACACGAGCATAGCCTTACACAGGCTCCAGCTGGCAGACGAATATCGATACTGGTGGGCTGTAGTAGAGGGCGGCTGTGGCGGGGTAGTTTGGAACCAGGCCCTCTGCCTGGCAAGCGGCACGGTGCGGGGTCGATATTGAGTGACCAGGGTAAATTAGTTTAGCTGACTGGACTTGCATTCTCGGGCAGAGCGATCTTGGAGAACGATGAGTGGAGGCTCTTCTGAGTGACAGGACAGGCTTCCCAGCCTCCTTCCAGGCCAAGACCCGCTCATCCTGGGCTATTTCGTCATAGCTCCGAGGCCTGGTTTCAATCACCGACGCACATTGATGTAATTGACTTTTGCATCAGGTCGGGAGAATTTCCTTGATTTCTAGTCTAGGTCAAGGAAGGCCTCTCGATTACACTCTCTGAAATCATATGGTACATCCAAGACCGTTTTGAGAGCTGCCCGCTCTTACTGTCGTCGATTAAGCTCCGTTTCTTCAGCACCCGGTGGATTGGCGACTTCTCTTCAAATCTGTTATGAATCCATTCGGAAGGGGACGAAGGCCAATTCGATTCCAATATCTGTGGTCCACGTTAACTTCACAGGTACTCCAGGCACCAAAGTATAGAGCTTGTCAGGTCATGAAAACATTCACATATCTTTTCAATACCTGTCACGTGTCAGGTTAACTATTGGTGATGGCTTCACGACCCGGTGACCTTGGGCGATACGATGGGGCCAGGTGACATGTTTTTGCCACCACGCATTGCGTGCATGTCTCACCAGTTTCCTGTCGTTCCTCCCGGTCAGAAACGACGACGCCTGACGTTCTAGAAGCTTCACTTCGACTAGATTAGGTGCGACTGACCCCAATTGACAGAAACTGGTCTAGTTTATGGAGTTGACTTGGTAGAACCCCAGCCACAACGCTAAAGTTAAGGGTTGCAAGTCAACAGCAACGCGGAACGGTCGGGCTCGGTCACGCAGGCGGTGGCGGGTCGGCATTGGTTTGATGCAGCGCCGCCTCTTATTGCAAAAGACCCTGCACGAAATAACACATCCGGAAAAAAAAAAACTCCCTTTTTCCACATTTTTTTGCGGCTCAAGAGTGGGTAGGGCTGGTAGGACTACATAGGCGTAACTCGAGGCAGACAGGCCACCAAGAGTCTCCTGCTCACGATCTCACGATCTCACAGGTGCAGCCTGAAAGAGACGTGAGATGAAGCAAAGGTCGTTGCTTGGGGTCCGAATTCCTAAGATCAAACTAGAATCCATCCTGGGATGAGTAAGAATATGATTGAATTCTGTGGGTCCGTTGTCTCGAGGGTATGTCGGTTATATATCGGGTAAATAAGCTTAAAACTACTTTGAGCAAAAGCTTCGATGCGAGAAAAGTCGCGATGAATTCATAGAGGCAGTTAAGACCAGCATGCCAAGTATGACACTGCATGCGCCGTTCGCTCTCTAATAAGATGCAAATGTAAGTTACTGTTTGGAATTCACCTCAATTGATGTCCTGACCCCATCCCAGAGAGCCGTAGCTGGCAGCCCAACTCACCACCATGAGGGCGCATCTTGCCCGCCATGTCTGCCGGCGATACCTCGTCCAGGGAGCCCGCTCTCCGCTCCAAAGAGCTTACCGACCGAGACCGAATCGTTATCCGTGCTTAATACCCGCCGTAACAGTTTCCCGTCCGTTCCGACGATCTTTCTTCGGCATCTTCAAAGAGGCTCCCCGTCGGATCCGGACCAACGAGTTCGAGCCTGGTTGGCCCTTGGTCCTCTCTTGGAGAACACGGGTATTAGAGAATTTACGGCCACCTCCGCGTGAGGAACTAGTCGATGCTTTTCGCCAGCTTTTCCAATACAAGCTCCAGTTCCGAGCCCCCGTCAATAGCACGCAGGCGATCCAGTGTTACCGGTTGTTTAATTACCTTGTCGAGAACAAGGCTGACGAAGATGGCCCGGGTCTATCTATAACGGAGCTTACCGCTGCTCGCGATGCGCTATTAGCAGTCCCGCGGGACAACATAAAACATCATTTAGAATTCTCCCGCGCTCTATACCACGAACTTATACGGCAAAGACGGCTAGAGGAAGAGTTCGGCGTACCCGAGGAAGCCCGGCAGGATGCGGATCCTCTTGCACGTACGCCTGCGGATGACGATTTTCGATGTTATCTTACGGCACTGACGCAATATGGCGCGTCTACCGACGCTGCGGCTGCTTTGAACGAACACTGGGGCCGACTCGTAGCCGAGAAGAGGGTACATAAAGGGGCGAAGCAACTCTGGATATTAGTCCTCCAGGGTCTGGCTCGGGAAGGCAAGGAAATCGAGTTGCTGGAACAGGCGCGGATTGCCGAGGAGAATGGGATTCAATATCGGCCTCACTTCCAGGAGGTCATGACGACCTTTTTCGCGAAGCGGGACCGGATAGGCGAAACGAAGTTCTGGTTCGAGCGGGATACGGGCAATCGCTGGCCCACACCCGAGGTGTACGCCGAAATCATAAGATTCGCAAGACGAACCGGCCTTGAGGATTGGGTCAACGAGGCATTCAAGGCCCTCATCGACTATAACCCTCGCAAGGCTCATTGGGATATTGTCTTTCAATGGGCAGCACTCTGCCGAGGCGAAGGGGTCGAGGGTGTCAAACACATGATTGACATTATGATCCAGAACAACCCCGAAGATGAAGCTGTGCGACCCGATATTGACACGATTAACGGACTGATTCGTATTGCGATGGAGAAGAATGACCCCTACCTCGCTGAGCGCTTCTTGGCTCTCGGCGCGGAGCTTGGCATTAGCCCAAACACCACCACCCATATCTTGCAGATGGATTACCGAATCGACGCCAAGGATCTTTCCGGAGCGAGGGCGGCGTATCACGATATGCTGCGGACAGAGATCCACGACGATGAGGATCTTGCAGTTATCAACAAGTACATCCGTGCGTTATGCGCTTCGGAAAGGCCGCTTCTCAAGAATATCCATGAGATCATGGGTGACCTCGAGCATCGCCTTGTGACGCTCGATCCTGAAACCGTCGTCGCGCTATGCATGACTTTCCTCAAAAATGATGATCAGTACGACGTCATTGACACTCTTGCCGTCCACGTCTTCCACTACAGCAGTGAGCAACGAGAGCAGATCCGAAAAGCTTTCGGCGATTTCATCCTCGACCGCAAGAATAGCACGTCCCGAGTCTGGGACGCTTACCAACTGCTGATGCAGTTCTTCCCCGAGACGACTCGCGAGACTCGAGTCCAGCTCATGGGCGCCTTCTTCGACCGCAAGCGGCCCGATATGGCTGCTAGTGTCTTTACACACATGAAAGAGCATGTCAACAGGGACTTCAGGCCCAACGTCGAAGACTACATCGTCATGCTCGAAGGTCTAGGCCAATCTCCCGATGAGGACAGCCTGGATAGCCTACACAACATGCTCAAGATCGACACCAACATACAGCCGTGCACGAGGCTCTCGAACGCGCTCATGATAGCCCTCGGCGCCTGCGGGAGACCCCTTCGCGCTCTAGACGTATGGCACGACATCTCGCGCTCGGCCGAGGGCCCCTCGTACGCAAGTCTGGAAATCATCTTCGCCGTGCTGGAGAAGAAGCCGTTCGGCGACGAGGACGCCCGCAAGATTTGGAGGAGCATGGAGAGGATGGAGCTGGAGATACCGCCTGCCGTGTTTGCTTCTTACTGTGGAGCGCTGGGCGGTAATGGTCGGTTGGATGAAGTTAAGGGGTTGATTAAGGGGATGTCGAGGACCGTCGGGTACCAACCTGACTTTATGACGTGAGTAAATATCATCATGATGAGAAACAAAATCACAAGTCGTAGCTGGGATACTAATACGGGGTCTTCATCTAGGCTCGGCATCTCGCATAATGCACTACCCTCTCAAAAACTTCAGGCAGAATTCCAGGCTTGGGCTTTAAGCCAGTATCCCGATCTCTGGGCACAGCTGGAGAGGATGGGACGACGGAGAACGGAGGGGTACTTAAGTGTATTTAAGATTCCACGAAATCTAAAGGCATAAATCTCAAGAGTGTATATAAGCAAAATGGGGGCATGGTTATTTAGAGGATGAGTTTATCTGTACAATAATGAAATGATAGACGGCATAAGAGAATTCAGTACATGTATTGTTGGTGATACACAGAGAGATGTGGTCTAGTCTACAAAGATCGCCCGCTACCAAGTTGGGCTAGGTGCCAGCTCGATTCTAATCCAAAGAAGGCCCTCATTACCTCCCATCTGGTCATTAACTATGACCGTTTTACTGTCGCGACCTCTTCGACTGCCACTCCAACTGCAAAAGTTCAGGGTGTCGGTGGACGCTAGGATGAAGACCCATACCCATTACCCTTCGGATAGCTTTGGCGATCTTGCGTTGGTTTGGAGGTCGGAGGCCAGTCTGATTTGAGTGTAGAATCTGGCCCATACTCGAAGTAAAGTCGGAAATCAAGGTAAAGTTCTACCCCAAGGGAGTCAGCCACGCATTGCCTTGACCAGTCACACCACGTCTTGGGGACGGGGGCGTAAGAAGAAAAGCTCACCCTATAATGATCCAAAGGATTTACCCCTGTCACATCAAACACATCCACCGTCTTCGGCGCATTCCTCCTCCACTTCTTCATCTCGTTCCCGGACAGGTCATGGGGCGTGAAGACGTCGCCCTCGCGCCAGTGTCGTGGCATCTGGGCAAGGTACTCGTCGCTTATGCGCTGGGCCTCGAGGCGCTGCTGGATGTCGGCGCGCTGGGACTTGATGCGGGAGTAGCGCTCGTCGGTGCGGGAGATGAGACGCTGGATCTCTTCGGTGGAGGTGCGGGCGCGGGCTTTCTGGGGCGAGGAGCGTTTGGGGGCTTCGTCGAGGGAGAGGAGGTTGGTGGCTGTGTTGTTTCGGGTGCCGCGGGCTGTGGATTGATTAGCCAGGGGTTCAATTTTCAGCCCAGATGGCCTTGAGGTGAGGAAGAGGCTGGAGCAGAGTGGTGAAGCTGGATGGCGTGGACAATGGCAATACGAGAAGTCAAGAGACGGGTTGGCTTGACGATGCAATTGAGGAGTGAAACTTACGGTTCTTGGGCTGCACCGTTGATGAGAGCGCGCGCACTACGGGCAGCGCGGGCTTAAAGCCCATCTTAACGGGTATCCTGGGAGGCATGTTGGGCAACGAGTCTTGAACTGCAGCTAGAACCCACCGATGCTGTCAAGAACACGAACAGCTTCAAGGTCAGACGAGGCTTAATTGTTCCAAGAAATTTCTTGGACCTTGAACACGGAATTTGCCGTCGATCCGTATCCGGCCGTTGACGAAGCGTGACACCTGTCAGACCTGTCAACTTCCCAATCAGAGAGACCAATTCTTTGCCCCTCCAAAATTTCTTATCACCCAAAGTATCAAACCGAACAAGACTTCACATCCTCTCCAACCACAAGACCCACGACTCGATTCACGCGGGACAGTCAAGATGGTGCGAAAACTCAAATATCACGAGCAGAAACTGCTCAAGAAGGTCGACTTCGTCACATATAAGAAGGACGAACACCGAGATGCCGATGTTATCAGACGGTACATGATCCAAAAACCAGAGGATTATCACAAGTATAACAGGATATGCGGCGTACGTGCAACTCTCCATCCGCCCCCGACAAGCCCGTTTTTCCTAAAGAATAGGAGACCACGATGGTGTTTCTATCCTACGAGGATATCCAACCTATTTTACTAACCCGCGCCCGCAGTCAATCCGCCAACTAGCCCACCGCCTATCGCTCCTCCCACCCGACAGCGCAGTCCGGCGCAAGCACGAAGACCTCCTCCTCGACAAGCTGTACGACATGGGCATTCTATCTACCAAGAGCAAGCTGTCCGCCGTCGAGAGGGCAGTCACAGTATCCGCCTTCGCTCGTCGGCGTCTTCCCGTTGTTATGACGAGGCTGAGGATGGCAGAGAATGTGCAGGCGGCGACGAAGCTCATCGAGCAAGGTCATGTTCGCGTGGGAACAGATACGATCACGGACCCGGCGTATTTGGTTACGAGGGGGATGGAGGATTTCGTGACATGGACTGTGGGCAGCAAGATTAAGAAGACGATCATGAAATATAGGGATGAGCTGGATGATTTCGAGCTATTATAACGCGGCTGTGGGGGATGAGCTGGGAATGGAGCAGGACGAAGAGGCCGGGTTTATCTGGCTCACAATACGACAGTTGACTGATTGTGCGGGACGTAAAATGCTACGGGATGACTGCTGCTCGGTTTGATGGATGAAACCAAAACACGGGGTGGTTTGCTATGATACCCTTATTGTAAATATAGATAGGATGCTAGAGAATTGAATATTCTCACCCAGACAGACATCAGGCCTCGATCCAGCCTTACAATGGCCCCGATTAGTACCCTTCCTTCACATTCTTCTCTACCTGTGTGTGTGTGTGTGTGTCTCTCACTGTAGACCTGAATCAAAATTCATACCCAGTTCCCGACCTCTCACGTACAATCAATCAACAACCTTCCATCTCTTACCTAAGAATTTTCTCACCATCACTTTGTCAAATCTTCGATTCTACATTGATGGAAGTGTTGTCTCTCCTCAGAGCGCAGAGTTGCTGCTTGCAATTTATAGAGCTTGAGCTGGGTTGGATGCCGATGTCGGGGTTAAGAAGAGCGATCTCGGGTTTAATCGCAACCACAAGAATCCAAGATGCCGCGGTGAAAAAACGACCCCGGAAACCTCATCACTTCCTCCCTCTAAATCGGTTCTGTCCGTCTCTCCAACGCTACTGCTCACATTTCCTTCACTGTAATAGCGAGGGTAAGAATGATATAAGCCAATTGACGCTAGCTCTCGTTCTCTCCCTTCCTCTTCCCCAAACCTTCCCCGTCGCTTGAATCTCATCCCCCCTCCCCCGTCACAACCATGGCTTCCGATGTGATAGAATCTCCCCCGATGGAGAAAAAGCCGCGCAAGAACTACAAAGGCTTCGTCGCCGGCGTCTTCTCCGGCATCGCGAAGCTCTCCGTCGGCCACCCCTTCGACACCATCAAAGTCCGTCTCCAAACCACCAACTCCTCCCGCTTCAGCGGTCCCCTCCAATGCGTCCTCCAGACCGTCCGCAACGAGGGCTTCTTCGCCCTCTACAAAGGCGCCACACCTCCCCTCGTCGGTTGGATGTTCATGGATTCCGTCATGCTCGGCTCCCTGACCGTGTACCGGCGATTTCTATCCGATACCCTCTTCCACGGCTACCAGCCGCCGGTGGTGACGAATTCTAAGTCGCGCGGGCAATCCGCCAACGCCTCTGTTCACCTCCCTTCCTACGGACACGGCCTTGCGGGTATCATGGCCGGATGCACCGTGAGCTTCATCGCCGCGCCCGTGGAGCACATCAAGGCCCGGCTGCAAGTCCAGTACGCAGCTTCCAAGTCCGACCGCCTGTACAAGGGCCCCATCGACTGCCTTTCCAAGATCTACAAGACGCACGGCATCCGAGGCATCTACCGCGGCCTCGGCGCCACTCTGCTCTTCCGAACTTTCTTCTTCTGCTGGTGGGGCAGCTACGACATCTTCACGCGCATGTTCCAGCAACATACGAACCTCAGCGCGCCAGCCATCAACTTTTGGGCTGGTGGCTTGAGCGCCCAAGTCTTTTGGATCACGAGCTATCCGTCGGACGTGGTCAAGCAGCGCATCATGACGGATCCCCTCGGCGGGGCGTTGAATGACGGGACGAGGCGGTTCCCGCGGTGGATTGATGCGGCGAGGGCGGTTTACAGGGAAGGGGGAGCCATGGGGTATTGGAGGGGTTTCTTGCCCTGTTTCTTGCGGGCGTTCCCTGCGAACGCCATGGCTTTGGTCGCATTCGAAGGCGTTATGAGGTTACTACCGGAATAGAACATTTATCAGCTTTTCGAAAACTACTACTGTTTACACTAGGCCAGGTACGAGCTACGATATATCATATCACAGTACGAGAATGAAGGAAAGGAGGAGAAGAAAATCGTCGAAGCATGATCCTGAAAATGCAGTGGTATCATTAGACTTTTGTGTGGCGCCCGAAGCTACCTCCTATCCCCGTCTTAGAATCCACCCATTCCAACAAACCGCTTGTTTCGACAAAAACCGCTTACTCGTCATCCTCCTCCTCAGCATCGTTGACGATGTTGAAGAACTTGAGCTCGTAGACACCCTTGGAGGTGGAGACAACGCGGAGCCAGTCACGCAGCTGGTTCTTCTTGAGGAACTTCTTGGTGCTACAGGCAAGGCGATTCGCATTAGTCGTCTTCGGTATCTCACGAATGCGATGGAGAAACAAGCAAAGAAGTTTGCAACGTACAGGTACTTGAGGTAGCGGCCAGAGAGCTCGTTGTGGGCAATGATCTCGACCTTGCCGTCACCCTGCTGGCGGACGACGATGGTGTCGCCGAGGTTTCCGGTGCGGCCCTCAACCTTGATCTTCTCCTGAAGGAACTTGGTGAAAGCGCTGACGTCGAAAATCTTGTCGCTAGCGGGCTGAGAAGCGTTGATGACGAACTACACACGCCAAGTCAGTCGACTGGTTTCCCCGAGATTTTCCATTGTCGAGGGGCACGGCTGCGTTTCCCGTCGAGTTTGGATTGGGTTTGGAGGGGTTTGTTTCCTTACCTTCTTCGTCTGCTTCTGGCTCTTACCAGCCTTCTTCTGTAAATTGGGCAAAAGAGAATAACCTTAGCCTACTGTTTCACGGCATAGTCGCCAACAAAAACCCATTTCCTCCCTCGTCCACCAGACCGGTTCTCAATGGCTCTCAACCCCACCTTGTCATTGCGCCATGCCACGGGGAGATATTCCACTCCCAATGGGTTCACAGCACAGACTAGGAAAAGAGAGAAACAAGAGCTCATTCAGAGGCGGCGAGGACGAGGACAGGAAGGGCGCTCTGGGCGGCGACACGGCCCAACAGCAAAGCGATTTGGTTTCATGTACGTACTGTTTGAGGGGCCATTGCGATGGAAGTGGATTGAGACTTTTGGCTCGGTTTTCTGGTTGTCACGAGAAAGTTCTTGGAGGACGCAAAGAAGTAGAATCCTGCGCCTTGGTATGGGTTGTCGTGGGTGGTATTTGTAGATGGATGTTTGGGAGGAGCAAGAAATTTCCGAAAAAGGTCGAAAAGTATTTCTCTGCGAAATTTCTTGTGGTTCTGGAAAATTAGGGCAAGTGGGGTGGGGTGCAGTCAAGCCAGGCGAGCCTGAGAGGTTGTAGGGTGGGGTGGGTACAACGCCAAAGGTCCGTGCGCAAGCGCTTCGACATTCGCCTTAGTCATCAAACGTCCGCCAGTCGAGCAGCTGCAACGGCTTGACACCGTCTGAGCATCTCAACCACCATCTCAACCTCGCACCGCAACTCGAAACGTCTCATCAAGGCCGTAAACCAAGGTCCAATACTACTCGTCATTTGTAGCAGCGATATCTGCTTTATCAGTCTCTAACTAACCTCTTCTCCATCTGTCATCCCTCCTCATCCTCTTCCCACCCGGCTTCCTTCAGCCGCCCGAGCCGTCCTCCTCTTCTGTATGGCTTAGAGGCCTTGCGTTAAATATAATGTAGATATGGTTGAGCCTCCTAACTCCTAAAGTGCCATGTTAAAAGTATAGATGCCTCGCAAAATGAAAATGCTAGATGCATGCGACTCGATAGTATATGTGTACAGAACTAAATGTGACAAAACAGCAAAAAACAAAACAACAAGGGGGGAAAAAAAGATAGCCTCGCCTCCTACACATATTGTCAATGTGTTAGTTTCAACGGGTATATGCCTTCCATCGCCAAGTAGCTCCCAAAAAAAGACCAAGAAGATATGTGGAAAGAGTCCCGTCCAGGACGTTGTCGGATGGTGCCGCACGGGGCTCCAAAAATAATTATGATTTATAGATACGTAAATAGATAGAGTGCGTCCGATGGTTGTCGTCGAAGTTATCACGTCGAGTGATCGCATTGCCTTCATTGCCCGTCTCGATGCCAGAAGATTAATGCGCCGTCTCTCGTCCATCCCGTCGCCGAAAGCGGGGAAGCGAACTTCGATTTGCCCGGGGGTGATTGCGAAGGGAGGGATGGAGAGCCCGACCTCCTGATTAGATGTCACTGGGCTCGGACAGTCCCAGGTCTCGCGTCGGACTCGAGAACGAGGCATGAACATGGTTGGTACGGAATAATATTATGAGACTCGTGATATGGTCGGCGACGTGGCGATCGTGTGGCATGATGGCTTAGTGGGTCGTATAGATGAGAAGAGAAAGGAAAATACTTTGGTAGCAAGAGAAGACAGCCATCAAGTCCCAAATATGGCGATCGAAAATGATACATCGTGAAAGATGTGCTCCCCGGCGAAAAATGGAGGAATCGCCTCAAAGTGTAGCGAAGGTCTCATGTGACGAGAGTCCAGTTTTCCTCTCAAGTCACATCATCGTCGGATGTGGCGGCGGCGCCATCGTAGGGTGCGGAGGCGGCGCCATCATGCCAGCGTCTATGGGCGTCGTTACCATGTGCGCCGGGAGCAACGACTGTGCCTGCATTGGCGTCATGCGCGGCTCTGGTATCGGCATCATTTCTCCTTGCGTCATCGGAACTAGATTTGGCATGTTCGGAATATTCGGTATACTCTCTGGTGTTTGCACCGGCACCATCATGGCCTCCTGGTCTTGGACAGGTGCCATAACATTAACACCGGCGTGGCGCTGAATAGGAGTTCGGCCGCTAGATCCGCTCGAGAAGCTCAGGTTTGCATTAGCCCCGGGCTGGTCGAAGAGGTCACGGTACAGTGCCTCCAACAGTTTCTTATCGAAGGTGAGGGCGCTAGTCGGGCACGCAACCTTGTTGAAGAAGGCGATCGTCTTGATGTAGAGATCCCTGAGCTGCTTCTCGTCGATCTCCTGTCGGAGGAATGGGTCACAGTAGCATGCCGCTAGTACTACCAGATTACCCCATTGGCTACACAAGGAATGATGTTAGCTTAAAATTTGACTTGCCATGATCAGAACAGCAGCAAGAATGTGCGCGGGCCGATCTGTAACTGGCAGGGAAAGAGGGGGGAGATTTCCATACGCATGAGCCGTGCCAAACACGTTTGTAATAATGGGCCGCTTATCGCCCAGCCCATGAAAGGCCTGGGTACTCTCGATGAGTGATCGAATAGCCTTCCTCGCGTGAGCCCAAACCTCCTGGGGAAGCGATTTAACCCTTTGTATAATATGCTCCGGTAGTTCCGCATAGGAGGCATTAAGCAGCGCGGGATCCGTCTCTACCCGCAGCGAATAAGAGAGATCGAGAATTTCCTTGACACAGGGTCTGTACGTGATGACCTGTGAACCCCAGTACTTGGCCCGAAGGCGAGCCGATAGTATGTCGCTCGCTGGCGGGTCGTCTTCGCTGAATCGATACATTGGTCCAACCCACGTCATATCGGCCACGCGAGCCTGCGCATCGTTCACCTGCGCCAAGTTGATTGATGAAGCGGCGGTTTCGGAACCGTATAGCATTCGATGGATTTGGTTGAGATGCTTTCGGAGATACAATTGCGCCATGTAGCTCGTTAATACGCTGTCCTGGAGAACTTCGGCCGAGGGGTCCTGTTGTTGCCAGAAGTAAGGATTGGGATAAGGCAGATGGTCTTCTTGAGCGAGGATCCCAGACTGGTGTCGAGGGATTTCGGCGACAATGTCACTACACCGAGTCAGTTCAGAGCGTTCCTCGTTGGCCGCCGATGCTGCAGAGCCACCCATGCAACTACCGCCCATTGTGCCCGTTCTAAACCTTCCCCAACAGGAATGACGACGACAACGACGACGACGATGAAGAGGGTAAAAAAAAAGCATCTGGCATGAGAACTTACCTTTCGAGCTGCAGACAAGTCCAGAATGCGAATATTAATTGGTTATCACGGTTGCTTCGGATTAGGGTTTTCGTTTCCTTCAGAAGAGAGAGACGCTTGAGGCTCCTATCCGCAACGAATTAGCTTATCCATTCCTGCTACCACCGTCGCACTGATTTTTCCGGGGCACATGGATGACGACACGCTCGATTGTGTTCAGAACTTACGGCCGCATGATGTTCATCAACACGTTGCAGGCATGAGCGATGTAGGCGTGGCTTTCGATCACTCGACCAAGCTGGCCGTGGAAGAGCCCTGCGAAAATGCCGGCATAGACATGATTCATGGTATTTCCGCCAAGTTGATTGCCAATTATGTCCGTTGCAATGGCGAAGTATTCTAAGCCGGGTATCACGTCGTAGTTGCGGCGAGGACGGTGGCTGCCACTTTTGGATCCCTGGAAAGATGACCTACGACCAAGACCAGGTCGTTCGCTCTCCTTGGGGGACGGTGCCATGCTAGCTGGATAATTCGCCGCTGGGGTGTAGGCCTCTGGGGAGGAGGCATGTCCAGGTGAGCTTGGATAGCCATTCCTCCTGTTGTAACTGGCATTCGGCGGCGAGTAGTCGTGTACGACATCGGGAACACGGTCTCGCTGAAGACAGATCTTGCCGAGTGCTAGGATAGTCAACACCACTGCATTGTTAATAGTTCGCGGAGGACGTCCCGTCCTGTATTGAATTTGCGGCGGATCAGGAGCGTCCATCGCCGGCGATCGCTTTCGCTTGCTACCAATGGCTTCTGCCGCCGCCGGCTGCGGGGATGCCTGAACGAATTTGGCAACCTGCGCAGGGGCAACCGGTTTCGCTGGGGGCTTGGGGATGCTGTTCAAGAAGATCTGAACCATGGCATGGAGGTCCTTTGGTTGAATGATGGGATGCATATTGAGAATGTTTTCCTCAAAGCTCTTAACATACTTCCATACCTTTCCCTCGCTGAAGTCGGGAACTCCGCTAGGCGTGAGAACAGGCGGTCTTGAATTAGAGCCGGTATACTCGGAGATGTTCACAGGACTGAATCCTCCAATATGACCCGAGGCGTCGCCGGGTGTCGGCGAGCTCATGTCAGAGTAAGCAACATCTTCGGGGATGTCCGTGGTTCCATGCTCAGCACGCACATCCCTATCACGGGGTATCGGATCCCGACCCTCTCCTCGACCATACACTCTCAAAATTCCTCGTTGTTCCTCCTCTCGAATGGGAAATTCCGCCGGAAATCGCAAGCTTTCTCGATTCAACACTCTCTGCACCATCGCGTTAATGCAGGGCCAGTTTAGTAAATGCCCGGCTCCAGTCGTATGGTTCGTGGGAATCGCAAGTTCGCCGGGTGGTAAAACAGGGCCCGGCTCAGGTTCCATCTCCTCATCAGGCATGTTATACCCCGGATGAGTTGAGCTGTAACCGAAGTTGGGTTTCAGCTCAGCATCATCCGAGTACTCGTCACTAGGTGCAAAAGGCTTCACATCGTCGTTGACATCCACCATCTCGCTTTCGCCCTTTTCACTTTCTTCGGCATCGTTTTCCGTCTTGAAGTCGATCTGTGGGAAGGCTTGAGCAATGGCCTTCTCAATCTTGCTTACCCTCTTATCCATATTCTCATGTTGCGAAACCAACTGCTCCAAAGTCTTCTGGATAGCTGCGACGCCCTCTAGGATGTCCGCTTGCGCCTTGTCGGTCCTTCAGTAGAAAGATGTTCACTTTAGCTTTTCTCCGGCGCCCGCTGCCGCGCGAGGTCTCTTGAGTGCCTTTTCACTTACGCTTTTGGTGCAGGTTCCCTATACTTGCACTCAACATTCTTCTCCCTACAGTTCTTGCAAGGCTTCGTCTCATCACACTTTGCCTTGAGAGCGCGACAACTATCGCAAGCCTACCCATTTAAGACTAGTCAGAGATAATCGCGTTTGCGACTATAATGCGAAGGAATTGCCTACCTGAGACGCCCTCGTAGCTTTCCTCTTAGCTGTAGTCGTATACGAGATGTTGTAATACGGCTCATTGGGATAAATAGTATCGTAGGGTGGCTGGTGTGGCATGGGACCTCCTTGGGGAGGGGGAGGAGGGGGGGGGGGATAAGATGGTCCAGGTCGTCCGTAAGCTCCCGGGGTTGTTGGAATGGGAGGGCCGCCAGCATCGTAACTCATGTGCCTGCGTGGATCTTCAGGATAACTCGGCGGTGGAGGCGGTCCACCAGGAGCACCGGCCTGCGGAGGAGGTGGATGAGGTCCAGAATTCATCGGTGAGGGTTGTGGCGGCGGCGCTGGATGAGCATTCACAGGATGAGGCTCTGCGATGTTGCCCGTCGATTGAGCTCGCCGGGGAGCAATATGCTCATCACCGGGATCCTTCTTTATGGCAGGGTCCCGGACTGGATACTGACTATGGAACGCGCTTGGAGGAGGACCATGGGAAGGCGGAGGGGGGGGAGGGTGTCCTTGTGTCGGAGGGTGGGCTTGAGCTGGTGAGGGCGGAGGTTGTCGAAAGTCTTGCATGGATGGGTATGGCTCTTGTTCATGATGACGACGGTCATCGGGGTGAGGAGGATGTTGGCCCGGTCTATGGGGGTGTAAAGGAGAGACCTGGGCAGGAGGCGGTGGTGGTGGATGAGGGTGAGGGGGAGGATGGGGATGAGAATGGGGATGAGGTTCGGAGTTGCGAGGAGGGTAATGGGGTTGATATTGACCCGGCGGCGTGGGCTGTGGTACGCCAGAGGGTAACGGGGTCTGGGTGGGATGGGGTAAAGACACAGTACCAGGTGGCGCACCAGGACCCCAGGACACAGAACTGTTCATCGAGAGACGGGGGCGCTTATTGCTCTGGTTGTCAAGCGGGCCCGGGTCCATGTTGGGAGTTATATGTGTACGGCAGTCGAAGTACTGCCTACATTCATACACAGGGAGTCAATATATGTTGTTGTCGGGGGAGGATATACGAAAGGCAGGTAGATAGATTGAAGCGAGGACAACCTCGAAAGATTATGTCGGCCGGTCAGGGAATGACCATAGCAGCGGTATTCGAGCGAGTGAGCTTAGGCTGGCCGAGGGGGTGTATGGGGCAGGTAGGGTAGGTTTATGGGGTGAAGGGGGTGAGAGTTAAGGGGTGAGGGGGGGAAACGGGAAACAGGAAACGGCCGATAGAACCGGGGCTAGGTCGAAAGTCCCTGGAGGAAGGGCGGCAAAGCTTGGAGGAGTGGTTTCCGGTTCTTCGAGTAACAAGTACTCGCAGCTACTCTCTAGAGGCCCGGGTGGAGGACAGAGCCAGAAAGAGCAGAGGCACGATTGGATGGGCGCCCAGAGAGGAAAGAGGGAAACGACAAGAATGAGACGTAGAATACAGAGACGAGTTGTTAACTCGTGTTGTCTCTCTTACGTCACGTCTTTCTCCCGATCTCTGCCGGGGGGGAGATTCCTTCTTAAGGTGAGAAACGCAGAGCCAGTGCCGTGAATGAGGTGAGAGACTCTTGAAGCTCAGGAGTGGACAGGAAGGCGGCCGAACAGAGTCGGTCCTGGCGCGATGCTGGAGAGGCGGAGCTCGCGGTAGCTATTTCCGAATGGACGAATCTTGCTGCGAACCGGGCCTAACGGGAGGTGGAAACCGGCGTGGGCAAGACTGGTGCTCTGCCTCCTATAGTCAACTCTCGCAGTTCAATGCTGCAATTTGCGATGCGAAAGCTCCAAGCAGAACGCGATACTACAATGCGACGAAGGCGGGACCCAGTGCAGGAAAAAAGACCTGGGAGGAGTAGACTATGTCAAAGGAGAGCGAGTCGGAATGGCCTCCAAGCGGCCAAGGCGAGAGACAATGGAAGGATCCGGCCGGTGTTGTGTCGTTGAGCCGATCACGTTTTGGAGAAGTGAGAAGTTCTGAGGGAGGTTCAGAAATTTAGAAAATCCAACACTGGGGGCAGGGGAGAGGAGAAGCACGCAGGTTGTGATCAACCCAACGCCAATGCCAGCACGAGCTAGGTTAGAGCTGGTCCAGAACCGGATCTGTGCTGCACCTTCAACTCCAACGCAACCAGGCTAATAAAAAAAAAAATAAGGAAAGTACCCCTGCCCTCACAAAACCCCAGCCCGAGGGCCCTTGTCTCCTTGGTGCTCACACCAATTTGACCAATTGTTGACAGGTCCAAGAGGGTACTACAGGTACTCTTGGGGCTCAGGCGCAAATTTATAGTACAAAGTACTTCAATTTTCTTACACCATTAGGTACACTACAAAGTACACCAGTCATGGGCTCCGGCTGGTATTATCAATGAGGTGGGTACAATTGTACTTCGCACTGCTCGGAGAGGAAAGAGTCGTCGCAGAGATGACCGGGGTTACAAGGGAACCCGAACATCGAATAACCTGGTGTAGCAGTTGCAGTAGTACCGAAGGTACATTGACCTTACCACCGAGCTGGGGCGGAAGCCCGTGTCCTGTCGTAGCCGTTACCAGTCTCGGCACAAGCATCAACAATGAGAATTCATTTTCCCGTCAATTCAATCGATTGATACATGTTCGATACGTACCCAGGTCAACTGGCGGTGGAGTTGGGGATTGATTCATTACGCTCAGGAAGGCTCAGGTACCACTACCAACAACCATCCAACTGGGAAGCTTGGAGAGTGTGCTTGTGACCTGCCACGCGAGAGTTGCACTTTTAATTACCTCGTCTTCAAAATAATCCCTTGGAGAAGAGGTATGCTGCTCTCGCCAATGCAGGCAGTTGTCGAAGCACCCTTGCCTTACCCAAGGCGAGTTAAAGACGATGAATGACGCGGAATGGGGTGGGGAGCTCCAATGTCTTGATCAATTGAGAAAACGACTTAGAGGGAGTGTACAGAGCCAGGCACAGCACGTCTTGAAATCACAGACTAGGGCTGGGCAAACGTCCATACTTCGTACTTGGTTTTTCTCCAATCCTACATCAAATGTATTAGTTAGTCATTCTTCTCACGGGAACGCGTTCGATGCTGTCTTTATATTGCCCTGGTGCCTTCAATGCCCTAAACTCTTCGTACTATTACTCACGAAAACGCAAGAACCTGGCGGCGCATGACTAGAAGATTAATTTGACATGGCAGGTTTTGTATTAAACCTCTCAAGGTGCTCGTTGTGCAGTATCTGAGTCTCCAGCCCTTAGTACATACTCGAAAGTCCGACGCCGCTGCGCTGTCTAGCATTTGGTGACTGACGGTAGGGTTCAAGGAGGGTAACACTACGAAGTAGAAACCCACGATATGCTCTGGAGCTCGAGGGACAAATGTCGGAATCAGACGAGGCCACTCGGCCGGTAGGACCGACTACTTGGTGGACAGCTGCAAAGTACACTAGCGCTCTGGTGCTGTATACTTCATACGAAGTCGATCACGGTTCTATGGAGCAAACTTGTCTTCTTAAGCTCGAGTAACTCATGAGCAGGAAGTCTATAGTGACGATACAAGCTGGCTTGTGTCAGATCCCCTGGTTATCTGCAAAAACTTGGCCATGGCCAGGCCCCCGGTCCCCAGCTATCAACTTCTTCCTTGTTTCACAAGATACTTGTAGCTGAAGGCTCACTTCCTCAACCCCATAGAAGCCTTGACACCTTCTCTCCTCGTAGACAAGTAGAGTCTGTTTAATTTAACTCGGGGCAAAGAACGGCTCTCTTCCTGAAAGAAGTCAATGTGTCGAACCCGTCGTCATCGTCCTCATCGTCCTCATCCAGGATCAAGCATGGAAGTATCACTTCGTCCAGCATATCTCTGTTACTTCTTCACGACCAAGTCACTGTAACTTGGCCTGTTATTATTAGGAGCATCGCCCATGAAAGTGCTATGACTCCGGAGCTAGTGTCGAGTCACTGAAGTAGTGTGGAAGATATGAACGGCACCAAGGAGCATAAAGGCGGCTCATCACTGGTAGAGCGCGTAGTCTCGTGAGTCGTAGTGTAATTCGGAGTAAGATTGGAGCCGACAAGCTGGTGCTGGCGGATTAACGGCGGAGCTAACACTCTTAAAAAAGGCCAAGTGATGTCAATTTCCGAGTTATTGCCATTTTATGTACATTATACAGTGTTTAAGCTTTCCACCATAACCATCTCGTCTGGTCTGCCTGGCCATGATCATTTCAAATTCTGGTGCTCACTTGTTTTCCAAGCATCTTCAAGTGATTACTTCATCAATCAAATGCTTTGTACTTCGTAACCACAGCCGTTTCGGGGGGCTGCACTTGCTATGATCAAATGAAACGATTGATTGATCGATTGGTCGTGCTTGTCACTTCGTACGGCTGCTGCAACTATGAAGTACGAAGCATGATGTATCTATTTCTCACTTTGTACCAATCCACTGGAGTCAAGGTCGCCTGTGCTGCATTGGTGGCACCTTTGACTTCGAACCCCACTGATGCAACGCCTCTCTGGACTGCTTTGGGCCATTTTGAACGTCCTGAACTAGTCAGTCGTTGCCAATTTGATCTATTGCTGATCCTGGGCCATTGGCCTTTTACCTCCAGCCGACTTCGGCGGATCCTCTTGTAGGAAGGAAGAAATACAATGATGGTAATCTTATCAGCAACAGACCCCATCGATAATCTCCAACAAGTACACAGGCCTTGAGAAGCAAACAATCACACGGACGGCGACATGGAGGAAGGAATTTCGGAACGTATCTTGGTTATGAGTGGGAGGAGGAACCAAACAAAGAAGGTCACCACTCCAAGGAGGGTTCAAACTACAAAGGTACTTTGAAGGTCATACATCCAACCACGCAATACGAAGTACTTCTCACTACGAGTAGTCTGCCAGCTTGGCCGCACCTTATTACTGCGTACATTTTCCTATGCGCTAGGATATGCATCATTGATATCTCCTAGCTCGTGATGAATACTACATTAATTAATGTATGCACTTCGTAGCGTAGCGTAAAGCAGCCAACGCATGTTGTCGGCATTGGCTTAAAATCAAGAATCATCCGCTGCCTGATGAAGTTGCACCCCAGCAAACCTGTTAGAAGCAAACCGGCCCAGACCCAGGTCGGACCTCAGAAGTGGCCTCAGCTTCAGAACATGGACTCTCCGCCCGCCGTAATGTGTCGGTTATGCTGCTCATCTTCTACTTCGTACAGACTCTGTACTTGCACCTACACTACAGGCGAGCCGCCATTGAGGGATCGATCCTGGACGCCAACATGACCGACTCCTGCAGGCTTCCTGTCGATCGCTGCGTTTGTTTGCCGCCATTTTAATAGCGATCTTGCCCTGTGGGTCGACGAAGGGACCTGGCAACCTCCAGGATTGGCTACGCGCCTCCTGACTTCGGGACCTTCAGGGCCTGTATTAATTCCTGACCGGCATCTAATCCTAATGCAGACGCCTCTGCGTTAGGGAAACGGCCTGGTTTCAGCTGATATAATTTCAGCGTTTTATTATCAATCATATTCTTTCAGTGGAAAAACCAAGCTGATGGTCCCAGAGCTGAATTGTTGTGCTGCCGCTTTTTTTATTGTTATTCTCCATGTTCTGACTCGTCTTCTCAAGTTCTGCTGTCTCCCACACTTGGGCCTGCACATGGGTTAAATTCATCTAGCGATTCTTAGTAACAAAAAGAATAAGAAGGAGAAAAAAAGTAAAGAAAAGACGGGAAGAAGAAAGTTTCTCGCTGCCTGGAGACAGACATCATCACCTCTTGCTGGGCTGTAAGATGCTTCTTGCCTGTCACCGCGTCTCGTACGAGGCCGCCAGCCGAATCACAGCGAAGGTCTGCGGTCACCCACCCATCCTCGTTGATGTTTGCTTCTTTCACACTTCCAACATTCGGTTCCCCCTCGTCACACTCTGTCACCTCTGTTCCAATTTCTAGTTCGCTGCGGCCCATTTGGCTAGCCCGGTTGAGGAGACAAACTTTGGCCAGGCCAGCCCAGAAACGCGACCACGTGTGACAGGACCTGGGTTGACAGGCTCCACAGTCAGCCAAATCTCCAATCACAACGAGAGGGACTTGTAAGAAGTAAATGCCAGCATCGCCAGTAATAACGAAGGACGGAGGCACTGTGACCTGTCCCACGTTTCCCGAGGTCACGGAGAGGAGAGTTGATGGCGTAGTTGTATTGCACAGTGTAATATTTGGGGACAAAAATTGATTTGGTATTAGTATTAATCTGATTGATGTTGTCTCAAAACGACGTCGGAGAAATTCAACAAACAACGTGCTCCAGGTTCCAAAGCGCAACAAGGCCTACGAAGTACGCTCTCTGAGAGAACAGCCGGGCAGGTACCTGGCCAGCCGACACGACCAGCCGGGGCACTCAAGTAGTGAAACTGGAGACTTATTTTTCCCCCGTTCTTCTGGAACACCTTCCGAACGT